TCAGCAGGAGTTCCTGGGCTCCCTGGAAGGCTTCGTGAGCGTCCTGGTCAGTGCACAGGAGAGTTTGAAGGAGAAGGTAAGAACAAACATGTTATTCCTTCAAAAATTATCTGATGGTGAACAAATCAATATGTAAGTGTGTAATGCTTCTCTTAGGGGGTCTTGATTCCACTACTTGCAAATTTTGAAAATATTTTGTGGGTGTTTTTGTTGCCCCCTGAAGATGTGGCGGTGACTAGATTTAAATTCCTATAATTTGGAGTGATGAGTGCATTAGGGGCTCCAAAGAAATGTTGGCCGCAATGGAGGGTTTTACTCTGTCATGTCAGATGTTGGACTGCAAAGAGAAGAGTATGAAGTGCTTCTGGTATTGCTCTGCAGCCTAGAAGGAAAGGAATCTGGAGCCAGAGTGTGTGTGTGGTGTGTGGTGTGTGTGTGTGTGTGGGGGTAGTTAGTGATAGGTGTGTGCTGGGGGAAGATGGGGGGTGATGGTGGGTAGGGATGGGAGGAAGTCTTGAAGAGGAGGGAGAAGGAGAGACGAATTGACATATCTAGAGAGAGTGGGTTGGGTCCTGTGGTCCAGCCAGTGACCAAAAGGGCCTTTAAGAATCAGTTTGGCATTTGCGGGATTTAGCTTCAATAAAATTTGTGCCACCTACAGTAAACCTGTGTTAGTGATTACTTGGGGTAGATGGTGGTGGATACAAAACCGTGATAGATGACAGCCCAGGGCAGGCATGAGTGGGAGATAGAGAAATTGATCCCATGAGACCAATGGCAATGTAACGTTCATTGCTCTCCAGGGAATACTGAGACCTTTCGGGACCTACTGGGATATTGGCAGAGAGGGATGCTATAGGCCTTCTAAAGGATGTGGGATGGGGGAGTTGAGTAAATGTTATCCAGACAGGGGCAGGATGATTCCAGCTAACATCTGAGTTCTATTTGCAATTAACTATGATGCAGGCCATCCTAAATGCAAGTTGAACCAAATTAAATAGTTGTTCTGCTGAAAAGAGTAGTGTTTTCATACTGTGGTAGAGGTTTTAAAAAATGTGGGATGGAACCTCACACAGGAGAGAGGCAGTGCCACTTCATGAAGCCTGGAAGCCTCCCCTGTAAAACCAAGGAGAGGTCCAGGAGGTGTGGCAGACGGAGGGTGCAGTGTCTGTCAGGAGTGAGGAGTGGGGGGCTGAGACCTGAATTGAGAGACTCACAGGGCCAGGTGCACTCTTACCAGAAGGAAAATGTCCTTATCAAATATTGAGGTGTTTTTGGGCTATGTGTGTTTAAAAGTATCCTAGGTTTCTTTGTCAAGTCAAAATCCAACACACCTCTTTTGCTACCCCTCTCCACCCCTCCCTCCTGAAATGAATCTGTGTATTTGCCATTGAACTTGCTAACCATACGGAATTTTTTGGATAAGTACTTGAACGTCTTTTCCTCTGGTTAATTTCCAAAAAGAATGTGATAGATTAGAAATTACCCCTCCCCCCAGTCAATTTTTTTGAAGGCCCCCCACTTTCTTTGGTTTCATGAGTTGACTACTTAATTTCCAAGTTCCCTATCAATTCTCAAATTCTGTGATATTATGTCTCTCTCTCTCTAGTTCACTGTTGGGTTTTTTTTTTTTTTTTGACCCCAAATTTGACCTCAGAACCAATCACCTCTACTGGTGTGCTCAATGCAATATGTCTCACTGTGTTTTCAAGGACATTTCTCAGGGAGCAGATAGTTTAGACTAGAGAGAATCCCCTTAAGATCCTTCTGGATCAGTCAGAAGTGTGTGTGTTTGTCTGTGTGTGTGTTAAAATAGCATCATCTGATTAGTTAACTTTCATTTTAATTAGGTGAACCTTCAAACGTGTGACATATTTGAACTGAAAACCCTGAAGGAACCTCTAGACTACTTGACTCTAGCTAATAACCCTGAGACTTTGGAAAAAATAGAAGGTTGTATGAAAGTATGGATCAAACAAACAGAGCAGGTAATTTTCAGAAACCAAACATCAGAAACTAGCTATCTGAACACTGACTAGTTCAGATGCCATGTTACTGAACCAGCCAGTGAAGAAGGTATGTCACATCCCATTCCCATTTGCCTAAGTATTTTACCACAAGTCCCTAACAAGGTGACAGGTTCAATGCAATTTTAATTTATAGTCATTAGTTAAGAGACAGAATTCTAGGAGATGAACGTAAATAACTTTATATACTTATATAACTAAATGACTGCACTTGGCCAATTTCTTTTCTGAAAGGTGTAAGTTACTTTGGAGAGAATCTCTCTGCAGAAGTACAAGAAGCTTTCTAATTCAGTGTGTCCTCCAAAACAAAGCTCAAGACTTAACCTTTAAAAAAATTATTTTCAGGGCTTCCCTGGTGGCGCAGTGGTTGAGAGTCCGCCTGCCGATGCAGGGGACACGGGTTCGTGCCCCGGTCGGGGAAGATCCCACATGCCGCGGAGCAGCTGGGCCTGTGAGCCATGGCCGCTGAGCCTGCGCCGCAACGGGAGAGGCCACAACAGTGAGAGGCCCGCGTACCGCCAAAAAAAGAAAAAAAAAAAAAAAAAAAAAAAAGAAAAAAAAAATAAAAAAAAAAAAAAAATATTTTCAGAAAAGTCCCAAGTGAAGCTGGATGTTACATCAATAAGGAAAAATTAACCAACTGAAGGCATGAGGGCTTTCCAAGGTTATTGTTCTCTGAGGTTCTAAGTGAATAGCCAAGGAAACTTTCTGAGGTCATGTCCTCCGAAAGTTCATGAAAGCTCCTTTAACAAATAGCTTTCCATTAGAATGAGTCAACTAAATTTTTGTTGAAATTAAAAAAATGGATACATGTTAGGTTAGTAAAAGGCTGTCACTTGAAGCATGCAAATGAATAAAAATATATCACGATTCAGATAGCAGAATTTACTTCTTTCCTTATATTTTGCTTATGTATAACTTTTATATCTTCAGCCCTACTCACTGGTTCATGGGCCTTCTGTGCACTTGCAGGTCCTTGCTGGAAACAATCAGCTACGGAAGGAAGCGGATGACCTTGGGCCCCGAGCAGAGTTGGAGTACTGGAAAAAAAGACTGTCTAAATTTAACTACCTTCTGGATCAGTGGAAGAGCCCAGATGTGAAGGCTGTGTTGGCAGTGCTTGCTGCTTCCAGGTCGAAACTTCTGAAGGTTGCTTTTTGCTTTATGAAGCGGGAATGCAAATTCTGTATGCATATGTCATGGAGTAATTAGGAACAGAAAAATGTCATTCTACCTCTATGAAAACAACTTTAAGATTGGATTATACTGTCCTTTTATAATTTTGGATACTGTGGAAATAGCCTTTGAATGAAAGGTATTTGTTGGCTGGTGTACATGTATGTATTTATTAGAGGGTACTGCAAGTCATTAAGATGTAACATAATAACATGATTATATATATATTATTAATTCAGACCAACGAGGAGTAGTAATAATGAAACCTTACCTTATCTATTTTTTTTAGCACTGGTGTATTTGTTTTATATCCCTGTGTAACAGATTACCCCAACACTTAGCCACCTGAAACAACAAACATTATCTCATAGTCTGTGGGTCAGGGATTTGGGTACAGCTTAGCTGGGAGCATGTGACTTGAGGTCTATCCTGAGGTTGTAGTCAGGGTGTTGGCTCATCTGAAGGCCTGACTGGGATTTGCTTCCAAGTTGCTTATGTGATTGTTGTGGGATTCAGTTCCTTGCTGGCTGTTGGCTGGAGGCTCCCTTTTGTTCTCTATCATAGACAATATGGGAGTGAGGTGCAAAATGGTTAAAGCAGTCTGTGGAGGAGAAAGGGTGTAGGTTTAAATGGAGGTGCTGCCCTCTTGAGGCTTTGTCCTAGTTATTGAATAGATGTCATAAGAGAAGGCCTGGAAGAGATACCTTTGAAAATTTTGTCAAAAAATTTAAATTGCTCTTCAGTGTGGCAAATGCCTCCCACCCCTCTGGATTCAGTTTTATGTGAGATGCATAGGGCAGACTGAAAGTCTGACCCATGGGACTTGTGATGACTTCTAGCAGCTGTTATAGTGGAATTTCCTCTATTAATAATTGCATTAAAATTTCTTTCCTGTACTGTGCTTAGACTTGGCGGGAGATGGATATTCGAATCACTGATGCAGCTAATGAAGCAAAGGACAATGTCAAATATCTGTACACACTTGAGAAATGCTGTGACCCCTTGTACAGTTGTGACCCTGTGCGTTAGAGATTTCTACCCCCTTGGTGTACTGATGACCCTTTCGCACTAACTGAATTGAGTGTGGAGTTTTGGTTCATGAATATTACAGTCTGTTGGAAAAGTCTTAGAAACTTCTTTTTATTCTTAAGAAAGTTATATATATATATTATATATATATATATATATATATATATATATACTTGTCTATCTACTTCTGTGTCTCTCTATATACAGCTATATATATGTAATATTTATATCATATATCTGTCTATCTAGCATCTATTTATCTATCCAGATAGAATGGACAGGACATGCGACATTATATTTTAAAAACATTTATTGAATATTCCATTTCCTATAAATATTGCAGTTGACATCCTGGACTATACTCAAATAACTGTGGGAAGAGTTATTGGCTCATTCTTTTTCTTCTTTTTTTTTTATATTTTAACCTTAGGATCTGCCTGTTTTTATTTATTACAAAATTAACTGTTAACACAACTTCCTTGTCCATAACAGAAAGTTAGTGTTTCTTGCATTGAAACAAAATGTGATTAACTGTGTGTGACTGAATAATAAAAATAAAATTACCCCTAAATATATTCTATTTATGTAGAGTGATAGATAATATTTAAAAAATTTAAATAAAAACCTTTTACCTAAATTTTATTCTAATGAAGTAGGAAGGATTAGCCTATTGGAATTTTGCTGAGTTTGATATCTGTTTCCCTGAAAACCTTTGTGATGTTTTCCAGATGTCCATGATTGATGCTATTCCTGCACTTATAAATGCAATTAAAATGATCTATAGTATCTCTCATTACTATAACACCTCTGAGAAGATCACGTCTCTGTTTGTAAAGGTAAGTGCATAGCATAGAGTCCATGGTCACTTAGATTTCTTTGCCAATGGTTAATTTTTTTTTTTATAATTAGAAATTACCATGGGACTTTGCTAGTGGTCCAGTAGTTAAGAATCCGCCTTCCAATGCAGGGGACGCGGGTTTGGTCCCTGGTCAGGGAACTAAGATCCCACATGCTATGGAGCAACTAAGCCTGCATGCTCTAGAGCCCGCAGGCCACATCTAGAGAGCCCATGCACCACAACTACTGAGCCTGCATGCCACAACTAGAGAGCAGCCTGCGTGCCACAACTAAGACCCAACGCAGCCAAAAATAAATAAATAAATAAATAGATAGATAAATAAATAAATGGATATTTAAAAAAACCCATAAATCTTTTTTTTAAAAAAAGAAATTACCACATTGGTGCAATCCAATGTCTATGTACCCTACAATTAAAAAAAAAAGCTTAATCTCTCAATAGAGAGAGGAGGCTGATTCTAGCAAATCATAAGGCATTATTTCCCAAAGTAATTATTATAATAAATATTGTATTATTTATATAATAAAAATGAAAGAAAGATTCTTTTTAGAATTTCTTTCCTTATTTTAGTTAGCACATGATTTCTATCTATCGGGTAAATTTTAATTAAGAAAAACTATATTTAACTGGCTATCTTCAGTTTCATATTTTATGTGCCACTGTTCCAAACTTATGTGATGCCACAGTTGTTTACTTGGTGTTATTAGAACAGTAATCATGGTAATAAAAGCCACTTGCAACGTTCCAGTAATCCATAAAGCAATTATAATGATTCTGCCAAAAACCATAACAATGTTTAAACCTTATGTCCTAACTCATAAGTATTTATGGTGAGCATTGTTGCTTTTTCCCATTTTTGAACAGTCTCTAAGAAGTAAATGACTTTTTCATTACCAAGGCGAAAGTTTTAAATGTTGTATTAAAATAGAGGCATTTTTGACTCATCAGGACTGTGTTGTGAATACTAATGCAGTAAGAGGCATGATTCTTCCCGGGAATAGGGGCATCCAGCCTTGAGAGCTTGATGGGAAACTTCCTTCTGCTCTCGTACTCAGGAAGAAAGGAGGGGAATCCACAAGACCCTTTTCCAGCTTCTTCACACATTAATGTTATGTTGGGGTCAGGAGGGGTATTCCCTGAGAATAAGACTCAAAAGTCAATTTGTGTTATTACTCCAGGTTTCGTGGAGTAATTTGCAAGGCTTATTTTGCAACATAATTGTGAAACCACCATTTCTCTCAGTTTCAAAAACCTTTCATTATGAAAAATTTGCAGCAGGTACAAAAGGAAGGAGGATTGTATGTACATGTACATGTCACCCAGATCATCAACTATCAACACATGGCCGATTTTGTTTCACCTAACCTTTGCACTGCAAATCCCAGACATCATGTCATTCCATACCTACAGTATAGACCTCTAGTTTTCCTTTTAATTTATTAAAAACATCACCAAAAGAATTCTGAAGTCTTTTTTTTTGTTTTTAAGTTTGGAGGGATAAATAAAATGTTGGCAGTTACACACATTGTCCTTACTCTTTCCTCTGTTGCCTTCTGCTTTTGTCATTTCTGCTACAGATCATGGTGGTGTGAAATGATCAGGGTGGACAATTCGTTTCATGGCACTTGGAAACCGTGAGTTAGATCTTAGAGCAGGCTGCCGAAGAAGGAGACGGGGTGGGGGAAGCTCTTGACAGCTTTTAGGTAGGGAAGTGAATCCCTTCTTGGTTGGTTAAGATGTTCATCCTGCATTAACACGGGGGTCTGAATTGGCAATTTTCTGTAGTGCTTCCAGCTCTGTGATTTTACAAATGATTTTGATAATAGATGTGTAGAACTTAAAAAGTTGAACAAATAGAAGCAGAGAGTAAAATGGTGGTTGTCAGGGTCTGGGGGAGTGTGGAACATGGGGAGATGTTGGTTAAAGGGTACAAACTTTGAGTTATAAGGTGACTGAGTTCTGGGATCTAATGTACAGCATGGTGACTATGGCTTGATATTGTATTGGACACTTGAAAATTGCTGAGAGAGCAGATCTTAAGTTTTCTCAACACACACACACAATGGTAATTATATGAAGTGTTGGATGTGTTAATACTTGATTTTGCCAATCATTTCATTATGTATATGTATATCAGGCCTCACATTGTACACCTTAGATATATACAATTTTTGCTCGTCAATTATACTTCAGTAAAGCTGGAAAAAAAGAGGGTTAGTGCTTGATCATAGTTGTGATGGAAAAACAATAAATCCAAAGATTTATTTACAGATTTTACACTCTGAGAGGTAGGAGAGCTAAGGACCCTTTAGCCCAATTTATGTTTGATGGCTGCTTAATGTCCTTGGCATCATTTTATTGGAAAATTCCAGGTGACCAATCAGATGATATCTGCATGTAAAGCCTATATTACCAACAATGGAACTGCTTCGATCTGGAGCCAACCACAGGATGTTGCTGTGGAAAAAATATTATCTGCAATTAAACTTAAGCAGGTAACGGTCAACTTGATAATATATTTAGATTTTTTATTATTTTTACATTGTTTTTTGCCAGTACATCTTAAATCATTTAGCAGTTATCATATTAGTGGTTGCTAAAAGGAATGGTAATCTTTTACTGTTACGAAAACTTGAATGTTAATAAATCAGTCCACCACATTTGTTCACTTACTTTACCCTTTTTGGGGGCCTGCTATGTGCCAACACCACACTAAGTACTAGAGATACAAAGATAAAGTAGTTTTCCTTAAGCTTCTTGTAGACGAATGGAGAGATACACAAAGAGTTAGGCTTCTACTAACACAGTGGGACCCAGGGGGAAAGGCTGCATCTTTGAGTCACCTTATGAATAATTAGGAGTTTGAACTTCCCTGGTGGTCCAGTGGTTAAGACTCCACGTTTCCAACGCAGGGTGCATGGGTTTGATCCCTGGTCAGGGAAGTTCCGCATGCCACTTGGCCAAAAAGAAAAAAAAAAAAAAAATTAGGAGTTTGCTAGGTTGGGGGATGGGAAAAGATGACATCCCAGGCTAATGAAGGAGTAGCTACAGAGGCATGAAACTGAAAGGTTTTGTAATTCCACCCTAAATTTGCTGTCGCTTTCACTTAAGAGAATAAGGTTGATATCTTTGTTGTGTTCCCTTTCTTGGATTTTGGTTTTTACTTTAAGGAATACCAGCACTGCTTTCACAAGATCAAACAAAAGCTTAAACAAGATCCAAATGAAAAACAATTTGAATTCAGTGAGATGTATATTTTTGGAAAATTTGAAACTTTCCACAGACGTCTTGCCAAGATAATGGACATCTTTATGACCTTCAAGACATATTCAGTCCTACAAGATTCTAAGATTGAAGGACTGGAAAACATGGTCATTAAATACCAGGTACTGTTTTCAAAACTAAATTTGCTACCCTTATCCATAATAAAACGTTAATGTGTTATGCAAATGCCTGTATTCAGAAAGCTTTAAATAATCAGTCTCTAATGTAAAAGATAAGCTCCTGGCCCTTAAACAATAAAGAAGTTAAATCTATTGGAGAATTGTGTAATGGTGCTAATATATTCTTTTCAGCTATGTGATTATGAGAATGACTTCCCTATAGCCTAAAATTAATCATCATTAGCAAAAGCGTTTTCATTAGTAGCACAAGAAAAATGTTTAAATATAACTTATTATTTCATTTATTCATGCAAGAAATATTTAATCAAGCATATACTGTGTGTCAGTCTCTCATTGACCCTGAGTTCTGAGTGGTATCTGATTATATCTGCAGTTAAGCATTTATATGGACTCATGTTAAAAAAATAATAGGGATTGGATTTTATTTTAGCTCTACTATTCTTTTTTTTTTGCGGTACGCGGGCCTCTCACTGTTGCGGCCTCTCCCCTCGCGGAGCACAGGCTCCGGACGCGCAGGCTCAGCGGCCATGGCTCACAGGCCCAGCTGCTCCGTGGCATGTGGGATCTTCCCGGACCAGGGCACGAACCCGTGTCCCCTGCATCGGCAGGCGGACTCTCAACCACTGCGCCACCAGGGAAGCCCTAGCTCTACTATTCTTTATTTTGACTTTTGACAGCTTTATGTTGTAAGGATATATGTGTAACTAATCTTAGTTTTTAAAGTGGGCACGGGGATCTAATGTTTTGAAGATTTTTAGAAAACAATTTACATACACAATGTGCTTTGCATTCTTAATGTGCATATAGTCAGTTTTTTCTTGTTTGGGGACAGTGACACTAAACCTTAATTTTTTTTTTGTACTTGAATTTGAAAAGGATCATATAATTTATTGTCACTCATTGATTTTTCTACTCTAAAAGTTTAGGTCGATATAAGAAATCTTTTCATTTCCTGAGTATATCAGATTTGGGGAGAGAAAAAGAAAAAAACCTTTTCTATATATATATATATATATATATATATATATAGAAAGTTCTGCCTCTGAATCATCACATGGTTATTTCCTCCTTGGCCTCTAGATCTTGATTTAAATGACCCTCTCAATTAAGTTTTCCTTGAGCTCTGTTTCACCTCAGTCACTCTATGTTACTTATTTTATCACTGTCTGCAATTATCCTGTTCATTTATTTGTGACTTAATAGATTCTCACCCTCTCTCCCCCACCAAGGATGTAAATTCCCGAGGGCAGGGATGTTTCTTTGTTCTGTTCATTTCTGTATCTTCCAAGTTTGCTGGCATATAATAGGTGTGCAATAAATATCTGTCAAGTCGGGGCTTCCCTGGTGGCACAGTGGTTGAGAATCTGCCTGCTAATGCAGGGGACACGGGTTCGAGCCCTGGTCTGGGAAGATCCCACATGCCGCAGGGCAACTAGGCCCATGAGCCGCAACTACTGAGCCTGCGCTCCGCAACAAGGGAGGCCACGATAGTGAGAGGCCCGTGCACCGCGATGAAGAGTGGCCCCTGCTTGCCACAACTAGAGAAAGCCCTTGCACAGAAACGAAGACCCAACACAGCCAAAAATAAATAAATAAACAAATATGGGGTTTAAAGAGAAAAGAATATTATTTTAAAAAAAAAATCTGTCAAGTAAATGATTTAGTAGATTGAGTTTGATTAGTTGGTTTAAAGGTCATGATTAATCAGCTTATTTACTTAATACTCTTAAGTGACCATTAAATCCAATCACAGAGCAGAATTTTCTAAGGGCCGCAAATCTTTTAAAATATAACTTTAAAATGTAGGAATGTTGCTTTTCCATACTTCTTTTACACATTTCCTATAACATGATGGGTAGCATTATAACATTATATATACACAATTTCTGAATAGACCTAATTTTGTAGTTATACGGCATGAAAGAGTAGGTTGTTTTAACTTGTAAACTTGATTCAAGAAGTTATGCAGCTTATATACACTCTTGCCTGTTGAGAGACTTGAGGTGATGTTTAAATGGAAATATCCTTTTTTTTTTTTGTGGTACGCGGGCCTCTCACTGTTGTGGCCTCTCCCACTGTGGAGCACAGGCCCCGGACGCGCAGGCCCAGCGGCCATGGCTCACAGGCCTAGCCGCTCCGCGGCATGTGGGATCTTCCCGGACCGGGGCACGAACCCGAGTCCCCTGCATCGGCAGGCGGACTCTCAACCACTGCGCCACCAGGAAAGCCCAAATGGAAATATCTTTGAAGAAGCTTTTGTGTAAGCTGGCCCGACATTCTTCATAAAGATTATATGCCTGTGTCAACAGTGTGGGCACCCGAGTTTGAGAACGGCTTAGTACCTGGTTAAGAATGATCACAGAGCATTAGAACTCATTATTCAGAGCAAACAAAACTTCGGATGATAGTATTTTCAAGAAGATGAGTTACCTAATTTGCACTGTTATAGTCACAGACTGCAGCTTTGGAGGAAGCAATTAATTCTAGAGATTCTTTAAATAGTAGATTATGGTTTGATATTTTATTTAGGACATTTGAGGCTTGGAAGATAGTTTTTCATCTGTAGATGTTATAACTGTGTTCTTTCTAAGTTGTTTGTAATCTGCTAAAGTCTTATTTATTTTCTGAGAAGACAAACTTTTCAATGAAAAATATTTTAGTAAATTCTACTTTGGGCTTGCTTGCTTCCTTCCTTCCTCCCTTCCTCCCTCCCTTCCTTCCTCCCTCCCGCCCTTCTTTTCTTTCGGCTGCGTCAGGTCTTAGTTGCAGCACGTGGGATCTTCGTTGAGGCATGCGGGACCTCCCCTTGCTCTTCCCTTGCGGCTCACGGGCTTCTCTCTAGTTGTTGTGTGCGGGTTTTCTCTTTCTCTAGTTGTGGCGTGCAGGCTCCAGGGTGCACGGGCTCTGTAGTTGCAGCATGCAGGCTCTCTAGCTGAGGCACGTGAGCTCAGTAGTTGTGGCGTGAGGGCTTAGTTGCATCACGGCATGTGGGATCTTGGTTCCCCACCAGGGATCGAACGTGCGTCCCCTGCATTGCAAGGTGGATTCTTTACCACTGGGCCACTAGGGAAGTTCCCTGGGCTTCTTTTTTTTTTCCATTACTTCTGATGTAATTTGTAAGAAATTTTTAGACAGAACATCTTTCCTACTTTTCAGGTGAGGTTTTTATTTGATATTTTTCTTCAGAAATACATAAAGTCTCATGAAAATGCTTTCCAAATTATATATTTGAATGCATTAGGCAATATTATACTACCTGTAATATACATGAAGCAATGAGAATAATTAAAGAAATAAGGCTCCTCTTAAGTTGAATTTTGGGGAATGATTGCACAGGTTCTATATTTAAAGGTCATATTTACCTAAGTCATGCAAGAATATTGAAATATTGTCTTATTTCTTTCATAACATTTCAGGGTATTGTTGCCACCATAAAGGAAAAGGAATATAATTTCTTAGACCAGTGGAAAATGGATTTTGAGCAGGATTATGAAGAGTTTTGCAAGCAGACTAATGACCTTCACGTAGGTTGGATAATGAAACTCCTGTTGACAGTCTGGTGTTTATTTTTTCCGTTCTGTGTAGTGCTGGTTATCATTACCCATTCAGAAGGGAGAGGCATCTTCATCATGGAGGTGACCGATAGCAAGCTCGGCCTGCATTTTGTGATTCCAGATTAATGACTGAAGGCTCTTTTTCATAGATTAAAGGGTCATAAATGTAGCTTTGGGTAAATGATCTGTGATCACAGACTTCTGCATGTGTTCCATCTTAGATCTTAGAAAATTAACTTTTATCTTCTGTTGAAACAGCATTATTAGAATATAGAAATTTGTTTCCATTTGTTTGTTACTTTAGCAATGATTATGACCAGAGGTAGCTTGAGCAAATAAATGATCAGCAATGTCTGGCAGATCTCAAAGGCAGGGTTACAGCTGGCCTTGAAACAGTGGTACCAGGACCGGCTCAGCACCTGGACCCCTCTTGGTCTCGAAGCCCCGTTCTCTCTTCCTTCTCTTGTCCCTCCTCCCACGCCCGGACCAGCCCACAGGAGCAGCGTATGGCCGTCAGCGGCTTCTGAGAACATATCACGGAACCAGCCTCATCTCCAAGTTCCTAAGGAAAAGGTTGGGTTAGCCAATTCTAATGTGGTCCCTTGTCCTGGACCTGTTAACTGTGGGGTCATATGGTAAAAGCAGAGGGGATGAGACCCACTTGCATGGTTGGGAGTGTTTATTATCAGCTGAGGAGAACCAGGGAGGGTAAGATTGGGAGACAACCTAACAGTTGTCCCCTATAATCAACATGCAGACTTCTTTCCATCCCAGTGATATCTAAAGTGTGCACCTTTCTGATTATTAAAGGAAAAGGATCATTCTGTTTCTTCTTTTCCAGAATTTTTGGTTTGAAATAAATTTATACACATCCCTCCGAAACATTTCTGGAGGGATGAGTTCAGTGTAGGACTCATAATAAAACTAGCTAATTCTATGTGTCAGGTCTGTTTTAAGCACTTTATAGATGTTAATTCACTTAATACAATAATCTGATAAAGTGAGTGCTCTTATTACCCTCTTTTTGGAGAGGAGGAGACGGAGGCACAATGAGGTTAAGTGATTTGCCCAAAGTCACAGAGATGACAAGTGGCAGGCAGTCTGGCTCTAGGATTCAAGTTTTAAACCATTACGCTGTAAGACACGTTTCAGGTGATGGGAAGATAGAGTGCCGGTAATAATTTAAGCACTGATCTCTTTTGGGGGCCGATTCAGACGTAAGGAGTGTGGATCTTGACCTCTTGTTGATGGGCGGTGGCAGATCCTGAGTCTGTGCTCCACGGTCAGTGTTTATTTGTCAAATCTTCATTTGTGTGTCCTAGCAGTTTCTGATCACATGGTACTTCAGTAGTTTGTATGTGGGATATAGGTAGATGGTGAACACCTTGAGGGCAGGAATTGTGTTCATTCCTATTTATGTCTCCAAGGCCTAGGGGATAGGACCTTGTGCTACTGGAGAGCAAAGAATGTTTGCTGAATTAGTGTATGAGTTGCGAATTAGTAAGGAGTAGACTGCTAAGTGAAATAAGTCAAACAGAGAAAGACAAATACTGGGGGATATCACTTATATATGGAATCCAAAAAAAATACAACAAATTAGTGAATATAACAAAAGAGAAGCAGACTCAGAGAAATAGAGAACAAGTTAGTGGCTACCAGTGGGGAGAGGGAAGAGGGGAGGGGGTAATATAGGGGTAGGGGATTAAGAAGTATAAACTATTAGGTATAAAATAAGCTACAAGGATATATTGTTCAACATGGGGAATATAGCCAATATTTTATAATAACTATAAATGGAGTATAACCTTAAAAAAATTACATCCCAGTCCCACATATATCAGGGGCATCAGATCTGAGAAAAAGCACAGGTTTTACTTTAAATGGAACATAAACGAAGTGACCCAATAAAATGTTTATTTTAAGAAAAAAATGGGAAAGAAAGATACTTACTGATAAGGTAGCAAAAAAATAAGAACTAGATTTATTGCAATTAAACATGCATTTACTATCCATTATTTATGTATTAGACTTCTATGCTGTAGCTTGTGGATACAGAAATAAATCAAGTTAATTTGCCCTCAGAAATCACATCAGACGTGATATGATTGAAATATAAGTACATATATGTTATAGAACAGAGTAATGAATATATTATTATAAAAGGGCAAATAGTGGCTAAAATGGCTAATTATAAAAGTATAATATTCTGATATCGTACTGGGAAGTAAGGATCCAAAGATAAGTTGACATATTCCAAAGAAGTTCTAAAGAAACTTATACGGAGAACAGACCTGCAAAACATTACATAGACTCTGAGAACTGCTGCAACCCATAAGGTAGGGTGTGAACCTAGGAGAAAAACAGTTCCATACTGTTGCTTGACTGGGATTAGGAAAGGCTCCAGAGAGGAGGCCATGCTTGGTGTGAGAACATGATTGATGTTTTCCAAGTAAATGGAGCGGAAATGAGAGTAATGGGAAGACTGTTTCAAGACTGGGCCACTTTTTATCATACTGAGAATATAAGTTTATAAATGTTTTAAAGTCTGGTTTTTAAACACTAGTTATAGATACTAATTCCTATTCTTCTTGAATTTTTTTTTCATTCAACACTTTTATTCATCTTGTCTTCCATCTCAAAAATGGTCCACTTCTCTCCTCGGTTTGCTGACCAGTTTTCCTCTGACTTCTTTTTCCCTTTCTCCATCCACTTTCTCTTAACTAACCTTTTTACACTCTCTCCTTTAAATAATTCACGCACTGTCATGAATTCAGCCTTTGTTTCTGTAAAACTGGGGGGCATACACTGACCTTCCCATGACTCTGGATGTAGTGAGCGGGGGTGATGAGTCTTGGAGACGGAATGGAGAAAACCAGTAACTGGCATCTCCAAGATGTGAGACTGGAGGGTGTGTGTGTGTGTGGGAGCGCGAGATATACTATACATGAGTGATTTGGATCAGGGTTGTGTCCAGGGATCTGCTGTCAAGGGCATTAGGGCCTGGGATCCTGTCCAGGTTTCAGGCTCATGCTTATACTGATATCAAAGAGATGCAGCGCGTTAGAACCAGGTGGGCCATTGGAAGTCTAGAATGATATTGTCTCCAGTGAGCAAAGTAAGGCACTGTTTAGTAAAGGACCAGCGTTTGAGGTGGCAAGCTGCCTTAGGAAAAACTGAGTAGGGCCTGAGAGCCCAGAACTAAGAGGATTAGAAGATTTCACACCAGACTCCAAAAGACTGAAAGAATGGACCTAAGGCTCCGAGAGAAAAGAAGACTAAATTGAAGTCTTAGGTGTTCATGAAGAGCTCAGTGTAGGCCTTTGTGAAGCCATAAGTTAGAAAAGCAAGGAAAACCAGGTCCAAGCGTTAGGGCTCAGTAAAGATTTACTGTGTCTCAAGTTCTGTATAGTTTATACTCGGATATTTTTATGTCGTGAAAAAATTTGAGTGTTTATTTAGATAGGCTAACTGTACAGTTCTTCAGTGCAAGAAGATTTCTTGATCCTAAGGTGTGATGTTTGTGGAAGAAATATCTGGTCCAGTATCCCTGGGGCCTGCCATGGCACTAAACCCTATGACTGCTCTGGCCTTCAAGTTGCTCTTTGTTCTGGCTTCTGGACATTTATCTTTCTCTAAGCTTAGACGAGTATTATATTCTCTGTTATACTTTGTCCTATATTGTATGTGTTTGCAGAGATGGGGAGCTCTTTTACCTTGTTGCTAAGTAGAAGTTTTTGCAATGCTAGTTCATTGTTCATCATCAGACTTTATTCTGTTTTAGAATGAGCTGCAGAAGTTCATGGATGTTACATTTGAAAAGATTAAAAACACAAATCAAGCTCTAAGTATGTTAAAGAAATTTGAAAGGTAAAAATTTGAAAGACTTTTCTAAGTTCTGTTCTCTAAATTGGGGTCATATGAACATGGTTTAGCTTACGTTATTATTGCTATTATTATTTCATATTCTAGTGGGAAGGAAATCCTCTCTTGACAATCTGAGTAACAAGGCCACAGTTTTAAAGTTCTTCAGAGGATTAAGAGTTTGTTTTATTTCCTCTCAGCTTTGAAGTACCTTGTGACTGCCTATCATAATATCACTTAATGTTTAATTTTTTTTTTTTTTTTTTGCGGTACGCGGGTCTCTCACTGCTGTGGCCTCTCCCGTTGCGGAGCACAGGCTCCGGACGCGCAGGCTCAGCGGCCATGGCTCACGGGCCCAGCCGCTCCGCAGCATGCGGGATCTTCCCAGACCGGGGCACAAACCCGTGTCCCCTGCATCGGCAGGCGGACTCTCAACCACTGCGCCACCAGGGAAGCCCAGTGTTTAAGTAATTTGAAGAAACTCTTACCAAAAGTTTTGACTAGGTTTTAAGGATTGATACTATTTAAAAAAAACACAAAAAACAGAAAACACTCTAGGGAATTCCCTGGTGGTCCAATGGTTAGGACTTTGCACGCTCATTGCCGAGGTCCCGGGTTCACTCCCTGGTTGGGGAACTAAGATCCCATAAGCCAAAAGAAAAAAAGAAACAAACAAACCCAAAAGCTATAACCTCTCTATTGCGATATGATTGACAGACTGATTCCATTCTGATGTTTTAATATGCTAACACAAATATTTCATTCTCTTCCATCAGCATATATTTTTACAATAAGTCTTAATCAATAAGATTTCTCAATATCATCCCATTAATTCAAGCCTTTCACTTTAAAAAAAAAATCAGATTGGATATACCTAATCTTGGAATTGATGACAAATACCGGCATATCCTTGAAAACTATGGGGCTGACATTGATATGATCTCGAAGCTGTATACGAAGCAGAAAGACGATCCTCCTTTGGCTCGAGACCAGCCTCCCATTGCTGGGAAGATTCTGTGGGCCCGACAGCTCTTCCACCGGATTCAGCAACCAATGCAGCGTTTCCAGCAGCACCCGTCTGTGCTCCAGACAGCGGAAGCCAAGCCTGTGATTCGCAGTTACAACAGGGTGGCCAAGGTCCTCCTGGCGTTTGAGGTTCTCTACCACAGGGCATGGCTTCAGCAAGTGAGTCTCTGCATGTATGCTCCTCAAAGACATCTCCATAAGAGTTTATAAACTGCTAGCATTGGGCAGTTTTATTCCCATAGAAAGTTGAATTTGTGGGTATTTTATAAGACAGGGTTGGCTGACTCTTAAGTAATCAGTCAAAGAGTATAATGTGTCCCTGAAGAAAAACAATAATTAATTTTGGAAAAAAGATCGTAAGCCAGGTAACAGAAACTCATTTTTTGAAAAATAAATTATTTATTTATTTATGGCTGCGTTGGGTCTTCGTTGCTGCGCGCGGGCTTTCTCTAGTTGTGGTGAGCGGGGGCCTACTCTTCGACTTGGTGCGTAGGCTTCTCATTGCGGTGGCTTCTCTTGTTGCAGAGCACAGGCTCTAGGTGCGTGGGCTTCAGTAGTTGTGGCTCATGGGCTCAGTAGTTGTGGCTCGTGGGCTGTAGAGCGCAGGCTCAGTAGTTGTGGTGCACGGGCTTAATTGCTCCGTGGCACGTGGGATCTTCCCAGACCTCGGCTCGAGATCCCCTGCATTGGCAGGCGGATTCTTAAGCACTTCGCCACCAGGGAAGCCCCAGAAACTCATTTTTATTTAATTTATAAACTCCAAAGGAAGAAGATCCTATTTATGGGATCCTGTACCTGGTGGATAAGGATTTCTCTTTCTTTTTTTTTTTCTCCATTGTGTCTGTGAACACTAGTATGCCTGTTAAACAAAGTTTTAAATTTTATTTGGCCATACTAGGTTAATCAAATTATATTTCATATCCTACCAACACTTGTATTTCTTTGTAGACTGACAGGAAGTATTTTGGAGGATAAAATTCAGCCTAACAAGGCCTCTAAAATGGTATCTCATTTTCCTAGTTCAAATTTTGGTGTCTGAATCAACGACAGAGATGTCTCTGTAGTGTTTTACCTTGCTTTTCCAGATAACTGAAGACTGAGCTTTGTAGGTTTCATGAAACTTTTATTAGGAAAAATAACTGAGTAGGCACGAAGGTATCAGGGAGTGAAGTGGCTTTTGAGAAGTCACATTTATTGCAGGATCCACTTATCAGGTGTGAGAGATTCACGACCCAAGCATTTTGTTGAATTGACTGTACATCACCACCAAGAACTTGAAAACTCTTTCCTGAGAGTGAAGTTAGGAGAACAGTGAGAGACCCCATTGTCTTTAGTTTGAGAAGCTCAAATCCATGGAAGAAGACGTAATGACCTTCATTCCCAGAAATGGCCAAGCTAGATACCCTGTGTCTGCATTGAACTCTCTACTAGTAACAATGTTGATCTCTTCTCACAGACTGAAGAAATTCATGTAGGACTTGAGGCTTCTTTATTGGTGAAGGCTCCTGGCACAGGGGAATTGTTTGTAAACTTCGATCCTCAGATATTAACCTTATTTAGAGAAACAGAGTGCATGTCACAGATGGGTCTGGAAGTTTCACCATTTGCAGCTGCCCTTTTCCGGAAACGAGACATATACAAAAAGAACTTCAGTAACATGAAGGTATAGTACTTTTATTTTTTTTTTCCCTTCTTGGCTAGCCCCAGTGTGCATTAAAAGAAGTCTGGCGGTGTGTCACTGTTGAGAAGCAGAAAGTGTCCAGGACGACTGTAGTGGAGTGACTGAGGCTAGAATGTAGAGTTGGCAAGGGCCAGGTCATCATAGAGCTTGTAAACCAAGGTTACACGTGTGAGTGCACCAGGAAGCCATTAGAGGAATCTGAGCAGGAGAAAAAGGCATGATGTCTTTTACAATAAAAATCATTCTTTCTGCGGGGTGAGGAACAGATTCTAAGGGGACAAAAAGGGTCAGTGTGAAGCTAGTTTGAGAGCTGTTGCACCGGTTCAGGATGGAGACGATGGCAGCTTGAACTAGGATGCAGCAGAGGAGTAGATCAGTGAATTAGAGAATGATGTCAACAGGCAGGTTATGAGAGAACTCAAGGATGATCCCTTTGTTTTTGGTGTGAGCAACTCAATGGAATTACTCAGTCGTTATGTTGGTTGTATTCTGCACACTTGTTCAGTAACATGCAGTGGTCCCAAATGGAAGTTCCACTCGTGGAGATGGCAAAGACTGGAACTAGCTTGTTTTGGGGGGCAGAAAGGAATCAATAGCTCCCATCTTAAGTATAAGATGATTTTTAGAGATCAAAGTAGACGTGTTATCCATGCAGATAGATAACGTAAGTATGGAGTTGAGTGGAGAAGTCAGAGTTGAAGGCATATTTTTGAGAGTTATTAGAATACAGTTGCTATTTAAAGTCATTTAAAGTCAACGCAGCCAAAATAAATTAATTAATTAAATAATAAAATAAATAAATAAAATAAATAAAATAAAAAGCCAAAAAAAAAAAAATAAAGTCATTGTCCTGCATGAGATTTCCAAGGAGGAGAATATAAAGAAGAGTAGAGGGCCTACATTAAACCCTGAGTTGCTCCAATATTAACAGGTCTGATAGAAGAGGACAAATATGCTAGTGGAATTAAGGATTGGCCTTTGAGGCGGGTGGAAACCAAACGTCAAGGAAGCCAAGGCTAAGAAAAACCTCATGATGGAGGGAATGGTCAGCAGTGACAAATGCTGCCCAGAGGATGCTCAAGATGAGGTCAGAGGTGCTGCCACGATATTTGACAACATGGAAACCATTGTTACAACTTTATAGTGGCCAATATCGTAGGACAAGCCCTATAAGGCCACGCATTTGCATAATGCTTTACATTTCAAACCGTTTTCATATTCATTGTTCCATTTGATATTTTCCACAGCCATGTTAGGTAATTGGAATAGAGTACTATTATATTATTTTAGAGATGACAAAACCATGGCTTAGAGAAATTAAATGACTTAGCCAAGGTCTCATAGCTAGTAAGTGGCAGAAGTAGGACAAGAACCCAAACTTGTAGTCTACTGTTTTCCCACTCTTTCATGTTATATTAAAAAGTTAATATTGGCAATGGACAGGCATTCCTCAAATGTAAGCTCATCAAATACTAGTCAGAATGTTGGAATTCCCTTTTAGATTTTTCCTGGATGTTAGAAAAATAACTAAGTCAATCTACATATTTGTAAAGAAACAGTTAGTTTTACTATATATAAATAGGTAAACAACAGGGACCCACTCTAGAGCACAGGGAACTATACTCAATATCTTGTAATAACCTATAATGGAAAAGAATCTGAAAAAGAATATATATATGTGTGTGTGTGTGTATAACTGAATCACTTTGCTGTACATTTGAAACTAATACAACATTGTAAATTAAATATACTTCAATAAAAAATAAATAAAAAAGGAAAAAGAAAGTAGTTATTTTTATTAAGAAACTGTTTATCAGAATATAAAATTACTAATGATAATTTTGTCCACAGAATTGCTGTTTCAGTTATCTGTTGCATGTAACAAACAATCCCAAAATATAGTGGCTTAAAGCAACCATTTCATTATACCTCATGATTCTGTGAATAAAGAATTTAAGCAAGGCTTGGCTAGGTGATCCTTCTGTTCCATGTGGCATTGACAAGATTACTTAGTTCGGTTGGCAGATGTTTGATCTGGAAGGTCCAAGAAGGACTCATTCTCTGGTTCTTTGGCGGGAATGGCTGGAAGTTTCGCTCAGTTGGGGCTAAGGACTGGAGAATCTATGGGAGCATTCCAGGATGGAGGCCTCAGGGTAGTAGAATTTCTTATAATGCAATTCAGGATTCCAACGGTGGGTGTTACAGTAAGCAGGGAGGAAGCCACATGGCCTTTTGGACAGCCTCAGATGTCTCATAGCATCATTTCTGTTGTCTTCTGTTGGGCTTTATAAGCCCACCCAGATTCAAGGAGAGGGGACATAGACCCCACCCCATTAAGGGAGGACGGTCAAAGAATGTTTTAAAACCACCACAGCTGTAAATGACAATTCTAGCAAGTGAATTATCATCTGGGTGACATTTATTGTATCTTGAGGTTGAAAGCGTTAAAGGTTCCCACTCACTGCAAGTACCTGGTAAGAGCAGATCTATTGACATGTTTTGGGGACTATCTCAGGTGTTGCTGAGTTATTGTGCTGAATATTTAAGTTTTCAGGCTTCTACAGATATGCTGAAATAGCTGAGAGTTTGTTTTCTTCATCTATTCCTTGGAAGGCAGTTCAAACTAGAAAGAGATGAGCCAGCATAGACTAATAGTTAGGAATACAGATTCTGAAGTCAATCTGGATTCAAAGCATTACCTTTGGGCAAATTACTTTACCCTTCTAAGCCTCAGTTTTTCATTTATAAAATGGATGAATAATACCTCCTAGATTAAAGGATTAAGGTAGAAGTAAAAGGCCTGCTGGAGGCTGATTTAAGAATTTCTTCCCAAATAGAATAAGTGATGAACATTGAAAAAAAGGTAAGCAGTGGATAAACGGTTCAGGAAATGTATAAGTAGCTGCTAATAGAACCATCAACTTTAGGTGTTTCATGGAAATTGAAAGGATATTACAAAAATTGTGGAAAAGTATTAAATGAAGAAAGGGTTATGTAGTCCAATGGGAAATGTTGAGTTTAACACAATTCACAAAGACTGTTGGGCTTCCTACTTCCTTCTTGCAATTTTCTCAGAATCATTACTATTAACTGTGACTTTCAAAGAAGGGAGATATTGTATACAGTGTTTTTCAAACTTAACCACCCAGGGACCATTTTTCTTATAGAATCTCTTGTGGCTTGCATTTCAGCGTAAACACCTTGGGAAACAGTGATCTAATGACAAAGTAATACCCACACGCACATTACAAAGATGAGCTTAAAAACAGTTGTATTTAAGGAGTGCATTAAAGTTGCTTTCTTATAATTAATTATTATTAATATTAACATTGCCATAAAAGGTAGGCTGGAAGTACTGTCAGTCTTATTTAAATATGGTAACATGTGAACAAAATACTGACACAATTTAACATTATACAGCAGGTAAATTTCAATGGAGGACCATGAGTTTCTGATCACAAATGCTCGTTCTAATAACAGCTAGTTAATTAATCAGAGAAATACTGATGGATCATCTTCTATGTGCCAGGCACTGTTTCAGGCACATTGAACAAAGCAGACAACATTCTTATCCTTTAACTTGCTCTTAAGTTCTTTTCCTCTCCTCCTCAGTCGTATTTTATTAGATTAGGAATTTGTGTCTATGGAGAGATTTCTTGCCTATTCTATTCTTATTATGTTTTGGCTGCTTTACTTGCCAGGCTGCTATTGGAGCCCTGCAACTGGACCCTAAATAAAAGTAATCATTTTGGATAAAAATGAGCTATTAATAGATATTCAAAGTGAGATATTATTTGATTACGTCACCCCTATTTCCCTGCAGATGATGCTGGCTGAATATCAGAGAGTGAAGTCAAAAATGCCTCCCATTATAGAGCAACTGATGGTCCCTCATTTGGCAAAGGTGGATGAAGCTCTCCAGCCTGGCCTGGCTGCACTGACCTGGACATCACTGAACATTAAGATGTACTTGAAAAATGCTTTTGCAAAGATCAGTAAGTCTGTTTAAATGGTTATTATTTTTCAATTCAAAAGGCTGAGTTTTGAAGGTCTATTGTATAATTTCTTATAGATGTTGTGATATAAGTAATGAAACAAGGAGTGATATTCTTAAGCTGTTCCCTAAGGAATTTTACCAAGTATATGAAGTCATTAATTTCCTGGAAACTATATATATTCAGTATTTAATTTTATCCCCAGAGGCTAACTACATTTTAAAATTATACTTACTGTTGGGCATTAGACTTTAAAGGAACTTCAGAGTCATTCAGCTTTTTATATTAATAGGTTACTGTATTCTGAGACCCCGATTTGAAAGATGTGATTTGGACGCAGCCGACTGTTGAACAGCAGGATACATGGGAAAAGTTTAAGCAAACATTTTTTCTTAATGAGGGATATAATATTCTTTAAAATATATGTAAGGTGGTGTATTCCATTAAATACAATTTCCCAGAATGTGTACAAGTATGCTGCAAGGAATTCTAGGCTCAGATAAGTCTGGGAAATCCAGGTTAAACAAAGGCAGATTTCTCTTCTGGAGGACTTTCAGAGCCCTTGATATGCCAATATTTAGTGGTCTCCAAAAGTGGGCTCCTGTAGGTGGCATTTCCCAGAATTCCTTGGCTGCTTACCAGTAAAGCACATTAACACCTTGAAGACCCTCTGTGGTGGACAGTGGAACACAGGTTGGAACATGGTGATAGAGGGATTGTTCTAGGAAGACTTAGAATCTATCACCATTCTCCTTTCCTACACAGTGTCCTCACCTGCTCTCCATGCCCTAATTCTCCCCATGTTTTATACCCCAGAGTACGTCCCACTCCCAAGAAGCCCACTCAGACTATTCTACCACACAGGACCTCTTTTTCCTGTGACCTCTGTTTTACATTGCGACTAAAGAATCTGTATTTTGGTTTCTTCTAATGGTTCTATCTTTCTCCCCATACTGACTGCAAAGGGCTTGAAAATCAGGCTCTTTCTTATGCTTTTGTATTACTCTGAGTTGGGTTTGTACTAGACACCCAGACACATATGGATTCATAATTGCAATAGTTTTATATAGTTAATCTCTTAACATTTCTTTTTCTCCGTAACCCCTTTCCTACCCTTTGATCCCATCACCTCATTTCTGGGTCACTCCTTCCTGAGCCTCCCTTCTACCTACCCCTCGTGATAACTCCTTTTATTCTCTCTCTCTCTCTCTCTCTCTCGTATTTGTGGCTGCTGAAATAGTACCTAGTCTATTTATAGCCTAATTTTTAAAGAGATTTTCTTATTAGTGTGTTTTCACTGTACCTTCCAAGTAACTTAGAGCTCAGAAGGGTCCACCTATTTACTTTACCAGGTGCACTATACTCAAGAATATTTATAGGTACTGGGTTGGGTGAGGTAGAGGAGTGAGGAATTTATGGTTGAACCCTCTTACCCTCTTTGTTTTGCTTTGTAGATTTGGGGACTAGATTCAAAGATAAATTGTGAAGGGGTCTTTGGATATGAATGAGATGTGTTTTAGGCTCATTACAATTTGAAGGTTGAATAATATAAAATGCATGAACCATAGCATTATAAGAATGGAGAAGATTCTCTGAGATGGAGGAGTGCTCAGGGGTCAATGCCGGCACAGGAGGAGGGGGCCATGCGAATATGGGCAGATTCACAGAAAGCCTCCTGGGGGAGATGCCTTTGAGCTGACTTCAAGTTTGAGTCAGAGTAAGGCAGGCTGAGAAAGCTGGGAAACTGGTTTAAGAAAGAACAGTGTGTTGGGACTTCCCTGGTGGCACAGTGGTTGAGAGTCCATCTGCCAATGCAGGGGACACGGGATCAAGCCCTGCTCCAAGAAGATCCCACATGCTGTGGAGCAGCTAAGCCCATGAGCCACAACTACCGAGCCTGCGCTCTAGAGCCTGCGAACCACAACTACTGACCCCACATGCCGCAACTACTGAAGCTCACGCGCCTAGAGCCCGTGCTCCACAACAAGAGAAGCCACCGCAGTGAGAAGCCTGTGCACCGCAACAAAGAGTAGCTCCCACTCGCCGCAACTAGAGAAAGCCCGCGCACAGCAACGAAGACCCAACACAGCCAAAAATAAATAAATAAGTAAAATTAAAAAAAAAAAAAAGAAAGAAAGAACAGTGTGAGAAAACCAAGTATGAAACAGCTCTATGGAGCAACTTTAATCCAGATTTTGCTACTGAAATTTAATCATGTTGGGTTTTTTTTTTTTAAAAAACAAAATGCTTAATCTCTTTTATTTTTTTTCCAAAGAGGCCCTGGAGTTGCTGATTGACAGGGTCAATGATTTGATCGAGTTCCGCATCGATGCCATCCTGGAAGAAATGAGTAGCACGCCTCTTTGTCAACTCCCCAGGGAGGAGCCACTTACCTGTGAAGAGTTTCTCCAAATGACACAGGTTATTAGAAGACTGATGTTTTTATTTAAATTTTGTTTTGTGATTCGTTTTTCTATAAAGGGCATTTTTGGGAGCATAAATTAAATTTTTTTTCTCTGTGCATGACTGGTCTGTGATAGATGTGATTCAAACGAGGAGCCTTCAGACAATAATTTGAAGCTGAAGAGGGACGTACCTGAGGGGCCACGTAGACACGAAGAACAAATCACTTCTTTTCAGATCAGTAGGAGGGAAATTGCCACGGAACATATTTCTCATTTCCTATAGTGTTTGAAGAATAGAGCTATTTTGCTGAAGAGCTTGTAATAAGCTAGGGTTAATTAATAAAATAATTGTTTTAAACAGTTTCTGGGTAGAATTTCTTCTTTAAACATTTCTGTGGAGCAGCATTTCCCAAACTGGTGTTCTGTGGCACACGGTTCTGGAGCCATTGCTGGGAAAGCTGGAAAAGGCGGGGTCTGTGTTCAATCTGCTTGGGGTAAAGACTGTACATTCCTTTCCCCATTCAGATTCTTTTCACATTAACGTTTTAGAATAAAGACCTTCAGAAGGGCTCCTGGGAGTATCTAGTTAACTTTCTTTAATCCATTATTTCTCAAAATTTAATTTGCATTTTGATTACCAAAGTGAATGATTACCAATATAAAAGAATGCTTTCTCTTGAATATGTTTATTTCTTAGAATTCATTTATTCCTTCAACAATTTTTGTGGAGCTCTTATGCGAACCACTATTTGGGAATAAAACAGTGAACAAAAGTGATGCAGTCCTTGCCATTGTGATGCCCACTTTCAAGTGGAAGATATAGAAAAACAAGCAAACAAAAAAACAACATGCCAGGTGATGATAAGTTCAATGGAGAAAATTTAGGAGGATAGTGGAGGAAAGGAGTACCTGACAGAGAGTTGTGATTTTATGTTGATGGTCAGGGATGACTTATGTGATTATCTGAACATAGGAAGTGAGGGAGCAAGCCATGTGAATGTCTTTGGGGAAAAACATTCCAGGCAGAGGGAACAGCAAGTGAAAAGGCCCTGAGGCAGAAGCTTCTTATGGTAGAAAGATGTTGAGTTGAAGTTCATTGAGTATGTTCATATGCTGAGGGGGAAAATCAAGTAGAGAAGGAAAAAGGGAATGGTTGGTAAGCATAGTCTCTGGCGAAGCAGCAGAGAGTGACTTAGAACTCAGATTGTGTGATTATGTATTCTTTTTTTAAAAATTAATTAATTAATTTATTTTTGGCTGCATTGGGTCTTCATTGCTGTACGTGGGCTTTCTCTAGTTGCGGCCAGTGGGAGCTACTCTTCTTTGCAGTGCGCGGGCTTCTCATTACGGTAGCTTCTCTTGTGGAGCACGGGCTCTAGGTGCGTGGGCTCAGTAGTTTTGGCTTGCAGGCTCTAGAGCTCAGGCTCAGTAGTTGTGTCGCACAGGCTTAGTTGCTCCGCGGCATGTGGGATCTTCCCAGACCAGAGCTTGAATCCGTGTCCCCTGTATTGGCAGGTGGATTCTTAACCACTGAACCACCAGGGAAGTCCCTATGTATTCTTAAATGGAAGAATAAACATTGCATTCACTGACAAAGGAGGAAAATGGGTTAATGATGGAGGCTGATTTGTCTTCTGGATAAGGGCATGGGGTCAGGGCCATGTAGTGGCCTCCATTTGCTTTGTGCTATAGAAATCAAGGTTATTATCTGAGAACGATGAGGGAGGATGGTGTAAGGATTTGAGGATGCAAGAATTTGAGGACACAGCAGTTATGGGGCCTGGTAGAGAAATATGACTGGAGTCATGTAGAATGATCCTTGGGTAGCATTAGGGGCCTGCCTGAGTTTGGGGACCATGAACTTCCAGCACCAACACCTGCCTTGCCATGACCTCTGTGTGCAAATGGAAAGGGTAGATGCCCTGGTTCATTTGGGTTGGGCTTCTCCTGGGTAGGGCTGTGGAAACAGGTGATGGAGTAAAGGCTGTTGGCAAAGGAATGATCGATGTGGGAAATCATGTCCTTAGGGGAGGGTGTGTAGAGTCAGAGGATTTAAGATGAAGGCTTTAAAAAATGTTAGCAATCGCTCAGAGAACGGGGAGTTAGTTCATTTTTTGTATGGAATGAGGTAAGCAAGCTTCTCAAACAAACGTCCTCCTGTGTTTGTATGTGATTTGCTGATCAATAATAATAACAAGCACTTCTTGGGTACTTACTTTGTGGCAGGCACTGTTCTTATCATTTTACATACATTGCCTTTTGGAATTCTCACAACAATCTGAGGTAGGTTCTACCATAATCAGCATTTTACAGATGTGGGAATCAAGGCCCGAGATTTTCCAGAATCACACAGAGCTAGGATTTGAACCCAGGTAGTTTGGTGCCAGAGTCTATACCTGTTACTGTACTTGTTGCTGGACGGTGCTAACTCTGTTCCCTCCCTTACCCAACCTCTGACCTGCATCTTTTTCATAACTGTCTGTAGGCTAAGGATGGTGATCATTAGTTAAGTGAAGTTCTGAGCTGGGAGTTATTTTATACTTTATTTGATGGTAAAGAAGTTTAATAGTTTCAGAACACATCAGAATCTTCCTGTTTTAATGATATCAAAATGCCATATGCCCTACAGCAGTGGAATGGATGTGAATGTCATGGGTAATGAGGAGGTAAATGAACCATGAAGCTAATGCTTGGAGTGGAGGGTCCATGAGCACATTAGAGAATCTTGAGGTGAATCATGGTGGAACTTGGGAAGGAGCTGGAGACTATGACCTACTCACAGTCTATTGCTTTATGGTCTTGTTTTCCAACCAGGTGGTAAATCACTGACTATCTCTCTGTCTGTCTGTCTTGATTAAAGTGCTCCAGTATATTCGTTTATGTTTGTTAAACCTCATTCTTGAGAAATGCATAATCCAGTTGGAGGCAGGGGAATATCTGAAATTAATTAAGGGTTGATGATGGACTGTTGGCAAAGGTGAAGAGAGAAGGAAGGCTGGCTAGAGCAGATTTATGTGAAATAAAGGAAACTTCATGGGAAGAGAGGCAGTTCATGACTTTTGGAGTTATTTCCTCCATTGCTGGAGAAGTAAGTGTAATTTTGGTCCATCTATGATCCAGTTGGCTCTCTTGTCTTTAACACATTCCTTTACAGGATGCCTGGCCTGGGTTAGTGTGAGAGGCATGGCCAAGCGTCGTTGGGGACCAAGATCTCATCTGGAGGCTGAACCTATGTGCCCTCAAGAGCTAGTTAAACAAATATGACACAGTGCTAATTTTTATTTAGTTTTTGATAGGACCTTTGTGTAAATGGTGCTCAGATACTACACTTTAAAAGCTCATTAGTGGAGGAAGCAGTCAATGAGCTAATAAATATATTGCTGGATGTGGAAGTTTCATCTAAGGAAGACAGAGAGAAAGCATCCAATATGAATAGTACTGATTCAAAAAATGAAATTTCGGGTAAGACAGGGGGTAATGGAAGGGTCTTGTTTTTCTAGGACATTACTGAAAACTAAAATTTAATTTTCTACATGACAATGAATTTCACACTCTAAAAAGACCCTCCCAATTTTATAAGGACATTTATAAATCTGAAATTATGATTCAGAGCACATTTTAATGATGCCATGTCATTCATTCCCATTACTTTTTGTTCAACTCTACAAGCATGTACTTTGCACTGGCCCTTGTTAGCTCTCTTTGCATTTAGGTCTAAATGTATGTTTTTTCGTTATCAGTAGAGTAGGATGGTTTATGGATTGGAATCCCCACTGAGGTACGTCTACACCAGAGCAAAGTGTTTGCAGGACAGACAAGGACACTGAGAGGCTGAGGACGGTCACTGTTCCCCAAGGGTTTATGGTTGTTGGTGGAAGAGAAAACCCAGAGAACGAGCACCCAGGCGCCCAGGCCCCGCCGTTCTTTTGTGGCCACAGCTCCTGCCTCTCCTCCTGTTGCCGCACATCGAGGAGGAGGGTCCTCCTCAGACTGCCTGGTGCCCCGAGTTCCTCTCCCTATCCTTTGATGGCCTCATTTTGTAAGAAGTGTGACCTTTGAGTGTTATTCAACTTGCATGTAATTTGTCTTAATTTTCTTCTCTTTAACTGCAGTAGATGGTTTTCTGTCTGTCTCCCTTTCTCTCTCTCTCCCCGTTCCCATCTCTTTCAATTTCTCTCATTGTGTAACAGCAAAAAGAGTAGAAGGACATTCTGACACCTTGACAGCTTCTCTTAATGCTGGGGCAGGCCTCCTACCTTTGACGACAGTCGCGAGAAAGAAGAAAGAGACCAAGGTCTAACAGGAAGGAGCCCGCGAGTTGCTCTCTCACTTCAATCACCAGAACCTGGGTGCTCTGCTGAAAGTTACAAGGAACACGCTAGAGGCCGTTCGCAAGCGCATTCATTCCTCCCACATGACCAGCTTCCAGGGTAATGATCCCACACCATTTGCCTGCTGGCTGGCCAAGCCTGCCTGCTGGTTGTGTGTGTGTGTTCCTGTTAGATTTAAATAATAAAAAACTCCACCATTTCTTGAGTGCCTCCTTGTAAGTTTAAATATTATGAACTTGGATTATCCCGACAATTCTATGAAGTAGACACTATCATTCTTCTCATTTAAGACTGAGTCCAGGGAGGTTAAGTAATTTGCTTAACGTCGCTTAGCTCTTGTTAATAACATCATAATCAGCATCACGTTTAATCTTTTTGTAATAAGGTGAAAACGTGTGAAATGAATTATTTTCATTAGTGAAAGAAAAAAATACATACTTTAAAAAGAAGATATCCAGAAAGATAATTTCATTGTTAAATTATTAGATTCTTAGCCAGTCTTATAAAGAGAGAAAGATCTTATTAATGCCATGATCTCCAAAGCAGAAATTGTTTTGACTATTTTCGTGTCAATTTAGTACTTTCCAACTGATTTCTTCATTCTCAGTACAACCATCTCTCCTCGGCACCATTCAGAAATAGGTGTTGCATTTCCGAGAGGGGCCACAAAAATCCATCAAATTTAGAGACATTCTGAAATTAAATTTTAAATTAAAAATATATAAAAAAATAAAGTAACAGTAATTAATTAAAATTGAAAAAATAATAGGATAACAAAATCTTTTAATTTATTTTGCGTATTGGCATTTAAGGGAAAGCATCTCTGATATTTAATTAACAGTGGTTGAATAAAAGTGGAAACATTAAAATAGTTTTTTGATTGGTGGCATGGCTTATTATGTTTTATTTTACTTCAGAATGGAGGATAGTTCTTTCCTTTGACATGGAGATAATATTAGAACTTATCAACTGTTGATATGCTGAATATTGTCACGTCTTCCCCAACTTTATATGTTACAGGTATTTCCAACTATATATAGAGAGTTAACACACACACACGTACATATTTAGACACCTATACCTATATCCAACTTTAAAAGCCCCTTGGGTATAGTATAAATGGTAAGTTACACTTTATTTCTTCTCCAATCTTTAACCGCGCCCTTTTAGGCAAGAGTTGATATAATTAAATCTGACTCCAGGCAGTGGGTTTCCTTTATGGAGAGTGTACCCATAGATTGTAATCAGCAGAAAATGGCTTGGGTTCCACCGAGCTGCTCTGTTACATTGAGCAAAACTAGATCCTCCTTTAGTTTTTATTCATTCATTCATTCATTCATTCAACAAATACATACAGTATTGTCCAATGATATACATATTATGTATTGTTCTAGGTGCTTTAATTTTTCTGGTTAAAAATGAAAAAATTAAAGATTTTTAACTAAGTTAATAAATTTGAAATTAAAAAGATTAAATCCTCCCTGTTTTGTGTTAACTCAGACAGTAACAGTACCTCTAAAATGAAGCAGAACGGTCTGCCCATTTTCCGGGCAAGCATCACTCTGGCCATTCCCAACATCACCATGGCCCCAGCCCTAGAAGACATACAGCAGACACTGAACAAAGCCGTGGAGTGCATCGTCACTGTCAGCAAGGGGGTTAGACAGTGGAACAGTGAGCTATTGTCCAAGGTAGGTGTGGGATGAGGAAATCATTTCTTATGATTGAAATGAATCATATGATTTGTGGCATGGTTTATTATGTTTCAAGGTCATATGACTGAAATATGTCCTTTTCCACTGTAGAAAAAGATGCACGAAAGAAAAATGGCTGCTTTGCAGAGTAACGAAGACAGTGATTCTGATGTTGAAATGGGAGAAAACGAACCTCAGGGTAAATGTTCTTTTAGTTCTTTCTAACTAGTCATTCTAAATCAAAATATATTGAGCTAAAAGGTATTTTCCCTCCATGCAATGCTCAAATCAGATTAGATCGGAATATTAATCTATGAGCGAATTTCTAGTTGATAAAATATGAAGATCCATGTATTTTAATATCACCATCATGAATAGTGTATTTTAAATGGGTATCTCACAAGACATACTAGGGGACAAGTAGGATTTTAGTCTCACAGTTTAAAGAGAAACTTGTCATCATCACAATGAACATTTCCTGACGTTTAAGAGCTATTTTGTATTTTGAGCCATTATATGTCCTGTTTTGCTAACATGCTGTGAGTTTTGCTGTAGATCTTATGGTTTTCATTTATATTCTGTAGTATTAGGTAGCATACGACATCCAAGTTGCTAATGATATATGATAAATGTAGTTTAGTCCTACAAACTTCTTTAAATGCAACCCTGCAAACAGCAGGGCTTGTGTAATTTTCAATTAGTGCTCATATCCCCTGAGAACTAACCACAAGGAAGAAACTAAAACAAGTTCCTCTTTAAAATAGTCTGTTACTGAGGAGGCTAAAGACAGCTCAACAACTTCATCCACAACTTACAATATTATTTATTTAAGCTAAAAATCTATATTATAATTTCAATTTTGATATTGTTTGGAAACATTGCTTAACTTCCTAGAATAGCTTAAAATTCAAAATTTTCTAAATTCAAAATATGTTCAATCATGAATTATATCTTAAATTGAGAGGAAAAGTGTTTAATGGAAAATTAGACATATATTTTTGTCATGATAAAAGAATTAAAAAAAGAAATAAGCTGCACCTTTTAAAAATAACAGCTTTGAGATATAATTTACATAACATAAAATTCACCCTTTTAAAGTGTACAATTCAGTGGTTTTTAGTATATTCAGAGTTGTACAACTATCACCACTATCTAATTTTAGAACATTTTCATCACCTCCAAGAGAAAGCCTGTACCTATTAGCAGTCATTTCTCATTCCCTTCCCCCAGCCCCTGGCAACCATTAATCTACTTTCTGTCTTTATGGATTTGCCTATTCTGAACGTTTCATATAAATGGAATCATGCTACATGTGGTCTTTTGTAACTAACTTTCAAGTTCTAACTATGTTGTAGCATATATCATTTCTTCATTTCTTTTTATGTATCATTTCTTTTTATTGGTCTATAATAGTCCATTGTATGGATATACTACATTTTATCCATTCATCAGTTGATGAACATTTGGGTTGTTTCCACTTTTGGACTGTTAAGAATAGATAATGCTATGAACATTTGTGTAAAGTTTTTGCGTGGACTTATATTTTCATTTCTCTTGGGTATGATAGTCATGCCCTGAATCATATGGCAACTTATGCTTAACATTTTGAGGAAGTGCCAAACTGTTTTCCAAAGCAATTAGACCATTTTACCTTCCTACCAGCAATGTATGAAGGTCTCTCTCTCTCTTTTTTTTTTTCCTTGTATCCTCACCAACAGTTGTTGTTGTCTGCCTTTTGATTATAGCCATTCTAGTGGGTGTGAAGTGGTATCTCCCTGCAGTTTTGATTTGCATTTCCATAAAGACCAATGATATTGCACATCTCTTCGTGTCTGTATGTGTGGCTTTTCTTTTTTTTTCTTCCGTTTATATATCTTGTTTGGAGAAATGTCTATTCTTTGCCCATGTTTTTAAAAATTGGACTGTTTGTCTTTTTATTGTTGAGTTGTTTATATATTATGAATACAGATCCCTTACCAGATACGTAATTTGAAATATTTTGTTACATTCTGTTGGTTGTTTTTTCACTTTCTTTCTTTTTTTTTTTTTTTTTTTGCCCAGCCGGGAGCCTCTCACTGTTGTGGCCTCTCCCGTTGCGGAGCACGGGCTCCGGACGTGCAGGCTCAGCGGCCATGGCTCACGGGCCCAGCCGTGCCACGGCATGTGGGATCTTCCCGGCCCAGGGCATGAACCTGTGTCCCCTGCATCAGCAGGCGGGCTCTCAACCACTGCGCCACCAGGGGAGCCCTGTTTTTTCCCTTTTTTTTTTTTTTTTTCGCAATACGGGAGCCTCTCACTGTTGTGGCCTCTCCCGTTGCGGAGCACGGGCTCCGGACGTGCAGGCTCAGCGGCCATGGCTCACGGGCCCAGCCGTGCCACGGCATGTGGGATCTTCCCGGCCCAGGGCATGAACCTGTGTCCCCTGCATCAGCAGGCGGGCTCTCAACCACTGCGCCACCAGGGGAGCCCTGTTTTTTCCCTTTTTTTTTTTTTTTTTCGCAATACGGGAGCCTCTCACTGTTGTGGCCTCTCCCGTTGCGGAGCACGGGCTCCGGACGTGCAGGCTCAGCGGCCATGGCTCACGGGCCCAGCCGTGCCACGGCATGTGGGATCTTCCCGGCCCAGGGCATGAACCTGTGTCCCCTGCATCAGCAGGCGGGCTCTCAACCACTGCGCCACCAGGGGAGCCCTGTTTTTTCCCTTTTTTTTTTTTTTTTTCGCAATACGGGAGCCTCTCACTGTTGTGGCCTCTCCCGTTGCGGAGCACGGGCTCCGGACGTGCAGGCTCAGCGGCCATGGCTCACGGGCCCAGCCGTGCCACGGCATGTGGGATCTTCCCGGCCCAGGGCATGAACCTGTGTCCCCTGCATCAGCAGGCGGGCTCTCAACCACTGCGCCACCAGGGGAGCCCTGTTTTTTCCCTTTTTTTTTTTTTTTTTCGCAATACGGGAGCCTCTCACTGTTGTGGCCTCTCCCGTTGCGGAGCACGGGCTCCGGACGTGCAGGCTCAGCGGCCATGGCTCACGGGCCCAGCCGTGCCACGGCATGTGGGATCTTCCCGGCCCAGGGCATGAACCTGTGTCCCCTGCATCAGCAGGCGGACTCTCAACCACTGCGCCACCAGGGAAGCCCTGTTTTTTCACTTTTTTAATGGTATCTTTTGAAGTATAAAAGTTTTAATTTTGATTCAGTCCAGTTTAGCTACTTTTTCTTTTGGTGCTTTTGACTGTGTATTTAAGAAACTATTGCTTAACTTAAGGTCATGAAGGTTTACTCCTATGTTTTCTTTAAACATTTTATATTTTTAGCTCTTATACTTAGGTCTACAGTGCATTTTGAGTGAAGTAGGGGTCCAAATTCATTCTTTTGCCTGTGAGTTGTCCTAGCACCATTTGTTGCAAAGACTATTTTTTCCCAATTGAATTTTCTTGAGACCCATGTTGAAAATCAGTTAACCGCAAGTGCAAATGCAAGCATTTATTTCTGCACTCTGGATTTTATTCCATTGATCTTATGTCTATCCTTATTCCAGGACCCCACTGTCTTGATTACTATAGCTTTGAAGTAAACTTTGAAGTCAGGAGTGTGAGTCTTCTGACATTTGTCTTCTTTTTCAAGATTGTTTTTGAATATTCTGGATCTCTTTTATTTCTGTATGAATTTTGAAATCATCAGCTTGTTAATTTCTACAAAAAAGATTTGTGATTTTTGGGATGTGCTAGATCTGTAAGTCAATCTGGAGACTATTGAAATGAAATTTAAAGAAAACTGAAATAATACAAAGTATCTCCTCAAACCACAGTGAAATGAAATTAAAAATCAGTGTTAGGAGATTTGGAAAATTCACTAATACATGAAAATTAAACAATACACTCCTAAATAACCAGAGTCAAAGAAGAAATCACAAAGGGAATTAGGAAATAGTTTTAGGATAAATGCAAAGGAAAACACAAAATGCCAAAACTTATGAAATGCAGTTAAAACAGTGCTTAGAGGGAAATTTATAGTCTTAAACACTGATACTAAAAAAGAAGAAATATCTCAAATCAATAGCCTAGCTTTCTAGGTTTTAAGAAACTTAACTTCAAGGTCACTGATTCTTTCTTCTACAAGCTAAAATCTGTTGAGCCTTGAAAGTGAATATTCATTTCACTTATTGTTTTTTTTCAACTTTAGAATTTGTATTTGATTCTCTTCTACATTTCTATTTCATTATTGATATTCTCTATTTTTTTGAGACATACTTCTCCTACTTTAATTCTTCAGATAGGGTTTTCTGTAGTTCCTTGAACATATTTTAATAGCTGATTTTAAATTTTTCTCTAAGTTTAATTAGGTCCCATTTGTTTATTTTTGCTTTTGTTTCCTTTGCATTAGGAGACAAATAAAAAAATATTGCTATGATTTATGTTAGAGTGTTCTGCTTATGTTTTCTTCTAGTTTTATGGTTTCCAGTCTTACTTGTAGGTCTTTAATCCATTTTGAGTTTATTTTTGTACATGGTGTGAGAAAGCTTTTGCACAGCAAAGGAAACCATCAACAAAATGAAAAGATAATCTACTGAATGGGAGCAAATATTTGCAAATGATATGACCAAAAGGGGTTAATATCAAAACTATATAAACAGCTCATACAACTCAATATCAGAAAACAAACAACCTCTTTGAAAAATGGACAGAAGACCGAATAGACATTTTCCCAAAGAAGACATACAGATGGCCAGCAGGCACATGAAAAGGTGCTCAACATCGGTACTCATCAGAGAAATGCAAATTAAAACCACAATGAGATATCACCTCACACCCGTCAAAATGACCATCATTAAAAAGAACATAAATAACAAATGTTGGCACAGATGTGGAGAAAAGGGCACCGACTTGCACTGTTGGTGGGAATGTAAATTGGTACAGCCACTGTGGAGAACAGTATGGAGGTTCCTCAAAAAAACTAAAAATAGAACTACCATATGATTCAGCATTTTCACTCCTGAGTATATATCTGGAAAAATGAAAACAGTAATTCGAAAAATATACACACCCCAGTGTTTATAGCAGCATGATTTACAGTAGCTAGGAAGCAATCCAAGTGCCCATCAAGAGACAATTGGATTAAGAAGCTGTGATACATATATACAATGGGCTATTACTCAGCCATAAAAAAGAACGAAATTTTGCCATTTGCAACAAGGTGGATGGACCTGGAGGGTATTATGTTAGTGAATTAAGTCAGGCAGAGAAAGACAAATGCTCTATGTTATCACTTATATGTGGAATCTAAAAAATAAAACAGAGGAAAGAATATAGCAAAACAGAAACAGATTTACAGATATAGAGAGCAAACTTGAGGTGACCAGTGGGGAGAGGGAAGGGGGGAGGGGAAAAGATAGGGGTATGGGATTAAGAGATACAAACTACTATGTATAAAATAAGTAAATAAATAAGCTACGAGGAAATATACAGCACAGGGAGTATAGCCAGTATTTTATAATAACTTTAAATGGAGTACAATCTATAAAAAATTTGAGTCACTATGTTGTACACCTGAATCTAACAGAATCTTGTCAATCAACTGTACGTCAATAAAAATTTCTTTTTGTCTAGTAATTCCAATAGTGGGCTTTCTCATGTATATTTCTATTGGCTGTTTTTGTTCCTATGGGTGGGCATGACTTTCCTGTATCTTTGCATGTCTCACAATTTTAATTTTTGTTTAAAACTTGATATGTTAAAGAGTATAATGTGGCAAATCTGATTCTTTCTCCCAGGGTCTGTTGTTGTTGTTGTTATTACTGTTTTATATTGACTTTCCTGGACCAATTCTGTAAAACTTGTCTTCCCTGTGGACTGCAGCACTATAGTCTGTGCTTGGTTAGTTTAGCAGTTAACTATGATTGCACAGAGATTTCCTTTAATGCTTTGAACCAGTAAGACTTCCATGCTTTGCCTAGGGAGTTTGTGTGTGCACTGGAGCACCCTGAAAGCTCAGAAAGTTTTCAGCACTGCTCTAGCCTTTATTTACTATTTGTGCAAGACCTCAATTCATGAGCCAGCATGAAAGATTGGGACATTTTTAGGTCTTTCCTGGGCATGTGCACAGCTCTGTACATACACATGACCTTCTAGAACCCCAGGAATATGTCAGGGCCCTATAAGGCCTCCTGTGGACATCTCATTCCCCAGATCTTTAACTTTTTTGGCCACCCTTTCCATCGCCCCAACAGATATCATTGCCTCAGGCAGCTGTGAAGTTAAATGTCACTGATTTTTTTTTTTTTAATTGAAGTGTAGTTGACTTACTTCATAAGTAAGTGACTTATGGACTTCAACATAGTGACTTGATATTTTTAGACATTATGAAATGATCACCACTATGAATCTAGTTACCATCTGTCACCATACAAAGTTATTACAGTATTATTGACTATATTCCCTGTATTGTACACTACATCCTGTGACTTATTTATTTTATAACTGGACTTCTTAATCCCCTTTATTGATTTTGCCCATCCTCCTTTCCCCTCCCTCTGGCAAGGACTAGTTGGTTCTCTGTATCTATGAGTCTGTTTCTGTTTTGTTCTCATTGTTTTTTGACAAACACCTTGGGGATAGGGATTTTCTCGGTCAGTGGGTTCTGAGTCAGGTCAAATAAAGATAACCTCTTTGAATGGGGCTTGCCCAGGGAGCTTCCAGACAAGTCAAGTAGGGACAATTCTATGGGGCTTCTTGAGGAGCCTTAAGCCCAGGCTGGTCCCTCTGGTGAACGTGGCCTGTTTCTGGCTGTGGTTTTCACAGCCACAGTCATTGCAAAGCTCCTGTTTCTCGAGGCTGCCGCATAGCCAGCAAGGGGCAGTGTACGTAGAACCAATTAACACATGACAAAACTCACTGCTGTTACTCAAATTTCAAAATATTTCTCTAATAAACAATTCCTTGAATTGTTGCAAGCTTTGGTTAATGTCCAGACTCCTGAAAAAATTATTATTGACAAATTTGCCCAGTGTTTTCAATTGCTTTTATAAAGAAGATTTTTTCAGAGGTCCTTACTTTACCATTACAGAAATTCACTCATCTTTTTAAAGCATGTTCTATATACTGTTGATATAAATGTTTCTCTCTCTCTCTCTCTCTTTTTTTTTTTGCTTTTAGATACCTTTGAGGTAGCATCTGTGAGCTTACCCATTCCTGTGCAAAGCAGAAACTATTATAAGAATGTTTCTGACAACAAAGAGATTCTAAAATTAGTCTCTGTGCTTAGCACAATCATCAACTCCACCAAAAAGGTATGCCAAGAGGATCTGCAGCCAGGGTCTTTTGCTTTACAGCAAGATTGAAGTTGAACATTTAATCTTGTCCTTCATGTAGCCTGGGTCTCACACCGTGTACCTTCAGTGAGCAACTTACGGAATCTCGTATGTGCTCAGCAAATGTTTGTTTAACTCAAGATTTTTCATTCTAGATTGCAAGGTGAAAGACAATTATTATTTCTGTGTTTTATATTGTCTTCTGTTTAATGCCTTTAAACTTTTTATGTATTTATGTAGTACAGATAAGTCTGTTAAAAAATTCAAGATGTCTCAAACCCCAGGTCAGACTGTTGCTGCAGTTCACCTTCAAAGAGTCAGTGATGCTGGAACTGACTTGAATCATTTGAAATAGAATAAGTTTATACTCAGTTTTTGTGTTTCTGTAGTTGGGCAAATCTTATAAAATGGATGAAAATTTGTATATATTGTATATACATGTATGTATATCATGGAAATAAGGTAATACTGAGAATTTAGAAAATATTTTCAGCACGTACTTGTACTGGACATAGATGCAAATTCAGGTTAATTTTTTCTTCCAAACTGCTCTTCTCTCACCTTTCCCTTTTCTGTTCAGGCAAATCTGTCTTTGTGGTTAAAAAGACTCAAAATCCTGGTGTCAATTTCTACTTAAAAGAAAATATTCACATTGGCACTAAGACCTGCTGACTCTTTAAAAATGTTTCTCATTGTTGAGGGAACAGTTGTCACTCAGTAAATATATCTTTTCTATTACTCAGTTTTGATAGAATGAGTTTCACTTGTTTGAAAGTGTTTTGAAAAGCTGCCTTTGCTGTAACCATGTGAGGAAATATTAAGTTTAATTTTAATGTATTCCTGAGGGAACTGGAAGCTTTTGCATTTATGCATTTTCAATTTTCCTTCTTAATATCTTGAAGGTCTTGTATTTAATTTTGCCCTAGGGACTGCATTCACATAATTCAATTTAACAAATATTTGTCTAGTGCTTAGTTTATCAAGCTCTGTACTAAACGATAAAGGTAAGTAGAGTATTCTATGATGATAATAAACATTCAAGTATGCTTTCAAATGTCTCAGGAATCATGGAAAATACAATAAAATAGGTCAATAATAAAGTCCATTACTTTCTTTCAATATAAGCAGCCACTGTTATGAAAAATCTAAGGGTAAGACAGAGTAGTTGAAATTAATGTACTGCAGGCAACAAGGTACTTATGTCTGTGTCATTGTTGTTGCATTTGCCTTTATATTATGTGACGGAAATGTACAGATCTTAGTACAGTCTTCCTTAAGATAATAGAAAGGGTTGGCACTTAAACTTGAAGGACTTTATCCAGATTGATAGGATGGCCAGATTGTTTCTGGAAGACTATATGCACACTTGGTCATAGTGCTAGATGTTGCTCTCCACAGCCATAGACCCTTCTGAATTTTCTGTGGCTGACCCTTCCTCGACCACAGAAAATCCCCTGACCCCAGCCCCTTTCCTCTTACAATAACTGGTTGTATCAGAGTACAAACCTGACCTACATTCAGCACATCCATAGTTTGGCCATCAACTTATAACACTGCCTGGCTTGAAAAGATGAGCTGGACCAAACAATCAAAATAACCACGGCAATTAAAATAACTTAAGTAGATCAGCCCTACATATGTAGTTCAAGTATTTTTTCCTTTAGGCTTTAGGTTACGTCTGCTTTCAAAAGTTCCAGCTTAATAAAGATTGACTCAGATAAAATAAGTGAGAGTCTAAAACTTATTTAGTTAGGGTATGTTCTTCTTTTTTCTTTTTTCTGGTATGTGGGCCTCTCACTGCTGTGGCCTCTCCCGTTGCGGAGCACAGGCTCCGGACGCGCAGGCCCAGCGGCCATGGCTCACGGGCCCAGCTGCTCCGCGGCATGTGGGATCCTCCTGGACCGGGGCACGAACCCGCGTCCCCTGCATCGGCAGGCGGACTCTCAACCACTGTGCCACCAGGGAAGCCCTGTTCTTCTTTTTTTTTTTTTTTAATAAATCTATCTATCTACTTATTTACTTATTTATTCAGGCTGCGTTGGGTCTTTGTTGCTGTGCACGGGCTTTCTCTCTAGTTGTGGGTAGCGGGGGTACTCTTCGTTGCAGTGCACGGGCTTCTCATTGCCGTGGCTTCTCTTGTTGCAGAGCATGGGCTCTAGGCTTGTGGGCTTCAGTAACTGTGGCATACAGGCTCAGTACTTGTGGCTCGTGGGCTCTAGAGAGCAGGCTCAGTAGTTGTGGCACCCAGGCTCAGTAGCTGTGGCTTGCAGGCTTCAGGAGTTGTGGCTCGTGGGCTCTAGAGCTCAGGCTCAGTAGTTGTGGCACAAGGGCCTAGTTGATCCATGGCATGTGGGATCTTCCCAGACCAGGGCTCGAACCCGTGTCCCCTGCAGTGGCAGGCGGATTCTTAACCACTGTGCTACCAGGGAAGTCCCAGGTACATTCTTAATATTATAAACTCTTGGGTGTTGAAAGAGCTCAGGATTCTGGAATTTTACCCATATTCAGGGATCTTTGATAATCTGTAATTCGTTCTCCAAACCATCATACATTTGTGAATATGTCTAGATGCTGTTGCAATGCATTCTGGGTGTGCATGTCAACATCTCAGCCCACGCCAGGGCATCAGGTGTAGTTGGGACAAGCGGGGGCAGGCTTAGCTTTTGGCATTTTAGTGGGTGTGAAGTGTCAACACTCATTAATCCTGAGGTTTCAAGGGGCATCTTTAGCTGCACGTGGGGAGCTAGAGTAAAGCTACTGCTTGGCTTGGTTCGGGTTGGTGAAATTTACTTAAAATAATCAGACCATTTAGAATGCTGTTGGTAATGCTCTATTCTTTCAAATAATGCCACTTTTCTCTCTATCTCAGTTGAAATATTTTTTTCTCATGCAGATGTAACTCTGAAATTATAATGTAAGCCAATAGAAAAAGTTGACTACCAAGAGGTATAAACATTAGAAATGAGGAGACAAATTGTAATTATTTGGAGATGATATGATTATCTATCAAGTAAATCTAAAAGCGCTAATCTAAAAAACACATATGGCCCAAGAAGAGTTAAGTTAGTAGTCAGTTGAAAGGTAACTATAGGCATTTCTGCTGTAATGCAATAAACATGTTCCCGAAAAGCCGGTTTTGCAAAGTTGCACATATAATAGGGCTTATGAGAAAAAAGAGGTTGAGATAGACACACACAACCTAGGAAATTCTGTAACCAGAGTAATACCAAAAATAATAACCATCATAGTAAAATATTAACCTGTTTAACAATGCTCTAGTCAGTATAGAACTTTACATACTATCAAAAGGTGAAAGAAACTTGGTAGATGTTGTAACAAGGTGTAAGAAACAGTTGAAAATACTGAGTTATGGAGACAAATATAAAATTTACAAAGATCAGGTCTAACTGTGCAAAGAACATTCTCGAAACAAAGTGGAGAACAAATTAACCCAAAAGAAAGAAGAGACAAAAAGCACTGTGCCCCTCTTTGGTTTGCTTCTTTAGTGGGTACAAATGAAGTGCTAGGAAAAACAGCATTTGATAATGTGACCTTCCTGTTATATTGACATCATTCCTTATTTGCCAGTTGCGAGAAAGCCAATTCATCTTACAGAAGCACACTTTGTAACAAAGCAGACCATTTTTTAAAAAACAGTTTTTAAAAAAACTTATATGCCATCCATACAGTTATAAGGAAAGTGGAAAAAAGATCCTTTTTACAATAACAACATCATTGAAAAGTACCTAGGAGCGTACATAATGAGAAGTTTGTAGGGTCTTTATGAAGAGTTCTCTAAAACTTAACAAGGAATTAAAGAAAAAGAGGTGAGAAGATTTAGAAACACATGGGAAGATTTAATATTGTATGGATGTCAGTCCTTATCTAATATATTTATACATTTTGTGTGATTCCATGCAATCTTTCAATGGGGCTTGATGCTGGATATATTCTATTTGTCCCTCTAGATCTAATCTCCATCCTCCGACCTTAGGGAACAAGTCAATGGGTTTCCATTGAGACTTCCAGTAGATTTCACCAATGAGAGTCTTGGAGGAGTTTGTGCAATGGGAAAAAGTGACCTCAGAGTATTTTTTTCCCCCATAGCACCACCTTCTCTGTGGCATGATTTGAGCTGTGTTTTTTGACCTAATGTCCAGCTCCAGTCAATAGGGCCTGGTTCACAAGAGATTTTATGGACTCTCTCTCTCTCTTTTTTTTTTCCTGAGAAACTGTTCCCCTCTCTTTTTGGCTAGGATGGTACCAGTTACATTGTTACTAGTCCCAGGTTACCATTTACACTATTGTATCCAGTTCCAGTCCTGTGGCATTTTCAACTAGTCACACGGTTCACTAATTAAACATTTTAATAAATCCATGGGAACCACCAGCAACTGGCAAATGTTCATTTATATCATGATACCGTTTCTGATTCTTCCTTCTCTACACAAATACGTTATTTGTATTCTAGGAAGTTATTACATCCACTGACTGCTTCAAACGCTACAATCACATTTGGCAAAAGGAGAAAGAAGAAACCATTGTGACGTTTATTATGAAAAACCCCTTGCTTTCTGAATTTGAATCCCAGATTCTCTATTTCCAAAAACTAGAGCAAGAAATTAACACTGAGCCTGAGTATATCTGTGGGGGTACCATTGCTCTGTACACAGGTTGGTTCATTTTCTTTCAGACAGTCATAAAAATTCAACGTATTACTCTGTCTCTTTACCTAGATTAGTATTCCAGAGAGTTCTAGCTATCTTAAAGATTGACTCTCCTTTTATTGGCCTCAAGCTTTAAGACCAACTTGTAGATTTGTTTTTAATTCCCTTCTGCGTAATTATTTATTCTGGACTATTTTGAACACTCTGCTGCTAAACCTTGAAAATAAATGCTAATTCAGACAAGGGATGAGTCTGTAATATTTGGAATTAAAATGTACCCTTTCTTTAATAAATAACAATAACAAAGATTTGAGGCTTATCTCCGACAGTTTAGATAGGTACTGGTTTTTTTTTTTTCCCATTTTGGAATGTGTTTTGAATTGTTGCAAATAGGCTTTATGGCATGAATGAATATATAATGATTGGGAAAAACTAATTTTTTTCCAGTTTGATTTTTCATGTTAGAGGGCTATCAGCTGCAAAGTATTTACTGTTGGTAAACCGTTACACTGGGTCTCCTTATACTGGTTCTAGTTTTTTAAACTGAATGGTGGACATGTGGCTTTTACAGCTGACTTGAAGTTCATCTTGACCGCTGAGACGAAGGCCTGGATGGTTGTCATTGGCCGTCACTGTAACAAAAAATACGGAAGTGAGATGGAAAACATTTTTACACTTGTTGAAGAATTCAGTAAGAAACTGAATCGCCCAATTAAAGACCTAGATGATGTTCGAATTGCTATGGTGGCACTGAAGGAAATTAGGGAGCAGCAAATCTCCATTGACTTTCAAGTGGGACCTATTGAGGTAACTGATAATCACTTGTTCTATAGAAATACCTCCATATGTTGGGCTCTATTAGATGAACTATTGACCAGATCTGGACTGGAGTTACAAATGGACGCTAAACCCAAGAACAACGATTTCAATAATGACACCTAACCTATAGGGTGCCTTGTATGGGCAGTTCTAGTACGTTACACAGCATTTGAGGTGTTGAAGAGCAGAGCCTGAGATGAGGATTTCTGTATAAGTGATTTATTGATGAGTGCTCATGAGAGAAGTAGAGTGAACGAAACAGAAAAGGATGAGGTTGGGGGTGGGAGGAAGCTAAGCCAGGGTGTGGTCTTAGCTGTAGACTAACTTCGGCCTGATCCCACAGGGAGTGTTCTGGAACATGAATTGTACCACAGAGTTGGCCCCATTTTGAGGCAAGGGGGACTGTCTTTATTCCCCCAAATCAGTTGGTCGTTGACCATTATTTCCTCATGAGGTGGCTCCTATCAGCTGAGGACCATTTTCAAGGGAAGAAGGCAGCTTGATTCCTATAGCCAACACACCCAACAATCCGGGTTGCAAATACCAGCTGATAAACAGGACCTGGATGGGGCACTGACAGTGTCCATTCATGGGTTTACTCTGTATTAACTCGTTTAATCCTTCCTACAACACTCCACTTACAAACAAGGAAACTGAGGGTCAAAGAAATCACGCAGTTTGATTAATGTTGCACATTACTTTTGTTTTTATTATCATACTATCTTTTCTAGACGCAAACACTTTATCAGGAATAGGTTACTATATTCTTTTAAATGAGACTAAAATAACTGTAGCATTAGAACAATTCCAGTTATAAAAACATTATCTTTTCACCACACCATAACTTAAGTGTCTGGACTTAAACTCGGTCAGGATCATACTCTTGTCTCATATTTTCTGCACATCTCTGAATTTTGAAAAATTTCAAATTACCATGAAAATGGCAGAGATGACTGAAGGTTTGCACCTCTACTGTGTTGGGTCAGGGAAGTCACGTGGTCCATTGTGTTCTTCTTTGGAATTGAAACATCAAGGCAAAGACCCCCCTACTTGGACCAGGGGAGTTTGGAGAAGGGGTTTGAAGAGGAGGTCCAGCAATTGCCAACCCTTTTTCCCCTGATGTGAGAGTTAAGACAAACTGTTGTCAAGTAGTCAAGCTCAAGATGCAATCTTTAGTACTGATAGAACTTATTTGGAAGACCTGATTTAGTGTTCAGCTCCCATATTCTCATTGTATCTTACTTTCCCCATCTCCCCACCCTATTCACACACACTATGGCCTTGTGAGCACTAAGTCCCAGAATTGTACTTACTCGTTCATCAAAGGCAGCATTGGAAAGCTGCAGGTCTCTGTGTTGCTTTGTTGATTTGATTGGTACTGGGGTGTAGACTGGAGGCATGCCTTCAAGGAGAAGGAGGGAAGAGGAAGAGAGGCACTGGGCTATGCTTGCCCAAATCAACAATCAGGTGTTCATTCTATGTCTTTGGGGAAGAGTAATGGTGGGAGAAGAGGCCAGGGATATTTAGGAAAAATCCTTTCTCATGAAAACCAAACTTTGCCTTATTTTAATCTTCTAGACAAGAGAATAGTCCAGGATTTTGTGTCCTGAGGGCAATAACTTGGCTTAGGCTCTGATTCAAGAATGCCCTCTTATGTCTTACTGTTGGAACCTTTTACCAACAAAGTGAAATAGGATAGAGTTAAAACTCTGATTCATTTTGTTATTCTAAAATTAGCAGTTAAATTGTTTTATGTTTGTCATTTACTTGATTTAATTTTGTAGTCTTCAAATACAATTTAGGGGCCTAAGTAAAAATACCTTTTATTTGCATAATGATTTATAGTTTTCAAAATGCATTTAAATTGATATGTTTTTTGATATTCATGAAAATCCTGTGAAGCAGCCAGGGAATCTTCCTGTTTTACAGATGAGGAAACTGAAGCTAAGTGGCTCAGTTGCTCACTTAAGCTTTTCCAAGTTTGCAAGTAGAGTAACTAGAGCTCTCTGGGCAGTTTCCCTGTCATGTGGATCTTTTCCATTCTAATGCTTTAAAAAATGACTGTGCATACATTTATGCACCTGACTGGCAGAAATGAAATTTTTCTTCTTTTGTGTAGGAATCCTATGCCCTGCTTAACAAATATGGCCTTCTGATAGCAAAGGAAGAGATGGACAAAGTGGATACTCTGCGTTACACTTGGGAGAAGCTTCTGGCACGTGCCAGTGAAGTGCAGAATGAATTAGTCTCACTGCAGCCCAGTTTCAGGAAAGAGCTTATTAGTACGGTGGAGGTCTTCCTCCAAGACTGTCACCAGTTCTACCTGGACTACGATTTGGTACAACTCTAGCTTTCTCTGTGTATTTTGGGAGAAGAATGACTACAGCATGCAAAATGTAGTTGTTTAAAGATAATATTGGGTGGGCCAAAAAGTGCCTTCGGTTTCTTAGGTAAAAATAAAGACACATTTTTCATTTTCACCAAGAACTTTATTGAACAACGTATTCATCCTTTTGTTCCACTACCTTCTGCCATTTTTCAGGCAACTTCATAATTCCATCTTCCCAAAACCTTTTATCTGTCTGAACAAAGAAATGTTCCAGGTGCCTTTTACAGTCTTCCAGGGAATTGAAACTTTTTTCCATTAAGAGAATTTTGTAAAGAGTGAAATAAATGGAAATCCGAAGTTTCAATGTCTGGTGAATAAGGTGGATGAATCAGAACTTCCCAGCCAAGCTGTAACAGGTTTTGCCTGGTCATCAAAGAAACATGTGATCTTGAGTTATCCTGATGGAAGATTATGCATTTTCTGTTGACTAATTCTGGACACTTTTCGTTGAGTGTCGCTTTCAGTTGGTCTAATTGGGAGCAGTACTTGTTGGAATTAATCATTTGGTTTTCTGGAAGGAGCTTATAATAGAGGACTCCCTTCCAATCCCACCGTATACACAACATCACCTTCTTTGGATGAAGACTGGCCTTGGGTGGGGTTGGCGATGGTTCTTTTTGCTTGTCCCACGATCTCTTCCGTTCCACATTGTTGTACAGTATCCAATTTTTATCGCCTGTCACAATTTGTTTTAAAAATGGAGTGTTTTCATTACGTTTCAATAGAGAATCGCACGTGGAAATATGGTCAAGAAGGTTTTTTTCACTTAACTTATGTGGGACCCAAACGTCAAAGCGAGGAACATAACCAAGCTGGTGCGAATGATTTTCAGCGCTTGATTTGGATATTTTTAGTGTGTCGGCTATCTCCTGCATGGTATAATGTTGATTTTTCTCAATTATTGTTTTGATTTGATCACTATCAACTTCAACTGGTCTACCAGACCGTGGAGCATTGTCCAGGGAGAAATCTCCAGCACGAAACTTCGCAAACCACTTTTGACGCGCTCGATCAGTCACAGCACCTTCTCCATACACTGCACAAATCGTTTTGTGCATTTCAGTTGCGTTTTTACCTTTCTTGAAATAATAAAGCATAATATGCTGAAAATGTTACTTTTTTTCTTCCATCTTCAATATTAAAATGGATACACAAAAATTCACCAATTTTGATGTCTGTTTTTAAATGATATGACAGCTGTCACAATACAATCTAACAAAACTGTTTCAAATGCAGTTAAAGGCAACTAGAGCCATCTTACGGAAAAAAACCAGATGAACCTTTTGGCCCACACAATATGTCAGATTTAATGAAATTCCCTAGGAATGGAAATTTTATTTTCACAAGAGCAAAGATATTTCCCTTTCACAATCCTTTCCCCTTAGAATTCATCCAGAATAATTTCAACAGTAAATGGAAATTTAAAAATGCTCTTTATATTATACCATTGGTTTTGTACTGAAGTTATTTTGGTAGCTTTTCTAGATTTGTGTAGATAAATATTATTCACTTATAGTTGTCATGATTATCCTTCGCACAGTATTCATTAGTTCTGCAAATACTGTAGAACTGCCCTTGGTGCTGAAGACGCAAAAGTGGACAAGACAGATTGAGTCCATATTTTAATCATACATACATAAGTTTTCATGCAAAATCTTCTGCTGGGAATATGTTGCTTAAGGAGACCCATTTCCAGCCAATTACAATGTGCTACAGAAGGGAAATGTGTAGAGTATAGGGTAAAACTTGTACTTATTAACTGGTAACACGCCAAACCACAAAGTAAATGAAATTAGGAGATTGGATTCATGAACCAACTTCATGGATGAAAAAGCACAGAAATCCAGTTATTTAAGGTGGTCTAATGTAGGAAAAACTGATTGGAATGTTAACATTACAGGTCACTTTACAAATAGATATTAGAGTGGTGAACTCTGTGTGTCACGTGGCATTATTGTTCTAGTTCAAACCAGACGCTGTTTGTGCTTCTTACAGAATAGTTATTTACCCTTCATGTCACCTGATAAATTAATAGCACATATTTTTAATTTTCAAAATTTCTTGACATATGAAAGCTGTGACCTCAACTTGGCTTTTTTTTGGCCTTGAAAATATTTCCAAATGAGTTACTTTCCTGAGTCCTTTTTTACAAATAAAAAGCAAGTTTCCTATCCTGTATGTGACATGCATGTAAACAAAGTTTGTTATTCAAATACATAGTGCTCATGAAATTTGTATGCATTTGCTTCATTTTATTTTATGTTTAACTTTTCGCGCCAGAATGGTCCAATGGCTAGCGGCTTGAAACCCCAGGAAGCCAGTGATAGACTTATCATATTTCAGGTGATCTTTTTAGTTTCTTTGACTTTCTATATAACCAAAACCTCAATGTCTTTTAAACACATACTTTTTTTCTGCTTAATATAGAGAAGCCCATTGTGGAATATAGTATGTACTTACCTTTTAAAAACTGTGATTTGGTATGGTTAACATTGGTTTCTATGTAATTAATTGTACTCATTTAGATGTGCTCAGAGATCATACATGTTTGCTTATTGGCCAATCTGTTTTTTTTAATTTGCATGTTTATTCACATGTAAATCATTTTTGATGAGTTTTCACTTGTATTTTTATTAGAATCAATTTGATAATATCTGTCGGAAATATATCACCTATACTGGGGGAGAGGAGCTTTTTGGTCTGCCAGTCACACAGTATCCTCAGCTTCTCGAAATCAAGAAGCAACTAAATCTTCTACAGAAAATATACGCTCTGTACAACAGTGTCATAGAAACTGTAAATAGCTATCACGATATTCTGTGGTCAGAAGTAAATATTGAAAAAATCAACAGTGAACTTTTAGAGTTCCAGAACAGGTGAGAAATTAATGTTTATCATGCCCAGAGCTATTGAACCTCAAATACTTTCTTCTTCGATAGGCTGTCAGGCTTCTTTCTTCACCCAGATGTTACGAAAGCACATCATGCTTCATTGCTGTTGTCCACTGACATCACCCTTGTCAAATGCGATTTATTAATTACCCCTGTGTGTGCCTGGTGAGACAAGCACATCCTTTAAACCTGGATGAATCTTGCCAAAGGCTTTCCTGCATCTTAGAGAGAGCTGATCTCTATTTATATTACACTTACCAACATTTGAAGTTTATGTTAGATGATTTATTTGGAATAAAAGCAAGAGCCCTGTGATATTTCTACATCCTTGAAGTGTTAAACCCCCCCCAAAATGGAGGGTCATTTGTTGTACTTTTCAGTTGACAGCCTGAAACACTCTGCTGTGCTTTGTACTTGGTAGGGTCTCAAAACATGTTTGGAGAATTGAATTGAATTGGGAAGCACCTCTATTCTTTAAAATAATGCCTTTTACCTAATTTTTATGAGGAAATTGAAAAAAGTCATTCCTGGTTGGATGGAGCAAATTGCTGCAATGTAAAAGTGTGTTATATTAACAGCTATCCGCTGAGTCATGAGAGTTAACAGTGTGATGGGTATTTGAGGTGACTGTTTTTGATGGAAATGCTAGCGGGCAGTCTTGGATTGGAGACATTCCAGGCTTATATTCGAATGAACTTTCATGCTGGCTTTTCTTCGCAGGTGTCGGAAGCTGCCCCGGGCCTTGAAGGACTGGCAGGCTTTTTTGGATCTGAAGAAGACCATTGATGATTTCAGCGAGTGTTGTCCCCTGCTGGAGCGCCTGGCCAGTAAGGCCATGATGGAAAGGCACTGGGAAAGGATAACTGCTCTCACTGGGCACAGTCTAGATGTGGGGAATGAAACTTTTAAGTTAAGACATATCATGGAGGCACCTCTTCTGAAATACGAAGAGGAAATAGAGGTACAATGATTGAGCGTATGATGTGGTGGGAGATTGGAAGGTCCCAGGGGATTTGAGAGTTTTCCTACATCATGGTCTTTTGGTGCACTACATCATGCTAGAACAATCAAAACTCTTTTCCTGGTACTCGGCTATTATTTCTTCAACAAACGTTTATGTAACAGGTTCTGTGTTAAGAGCTGGGGACATAAGAGTATGTTCCTGTGTTTACAGATCATTAACTAATTTGTATAATTAAATAATTATACAAATGAAGGTGTAGTTACAAACTGCAGTAAATACCATTGAAATGGAAGTGTGCTGCTCTATGAGGGCCTCTAATAATGGGGTTGACCTCTCTGGGGGTGGGGCGAGGGCAATGAAGGTCAGGAAGACTGGGTGCTGGGTGAACGGGGTGTGCTTGTGTGGTGAGGGGGTAAGGGGCTTGGAAAGTGCAGAGAAGACAGTGTCAGGCAGGTGGAACAGCATATGTGAAGGGTCTGAGGTGTGTTTAGAGGACCAGAAGGCCGAGATATGGAGGTGGGTGAGAGAGGAGACAGCTAAGGTTGGGGAGTTGGAGTGGGTCTAGAATGTGTTATCGATTTCAGTCTTTGAAGCAGTCGGTAGCCAACTGGGAGATGTATTTTGATTGGGGGATGACGTGGTTAAATTTGCATTTTGTAAAGATCACTCCGGTAGCTGTGAGGAGAAAGAATTGGAAAACAGAAAGGGGGAATGCGGGGAAACCAATTGGGAGGTTACTTGAATAGCCCCGGCAACAGATAATGATGTGTCAGATGAGGAGGCAGGTAGTGAAGCTGAAGAGGGGAGACAAGATTGAAGAGATCGTTAGGAGGTAAAATTGGATAGAATTTGACGGAGTGAACATGGTAGGGAAATGGGAGGGGCTCAGGATGAACCCTAGAGTTCTTGCTGAGAGATCTGAGTGGATGATGGTGCTTATGACTGAGATGGGGAATGTTGGAAGGTGATCAGGTGGAATGACAAAGTGCAAAGACTATGAGCTTGATTTTGGGCATGAGTCTGATATTTCACAGATTGTGTTTTGGGTTCCCTTGATGTATCCAAACAGAGAAGCCCAGTAAGCAGTGGGTGTGGGTCTTTCCTGGAGATATAAAAGGTTGCTGACTGCACGGGTGTGGATATGCTCATCCAGAGAGGGACAAGAAGAGGGCAAGGACAGGTTTGACCAATGGTCCAGGAGCAGATAAGGCTGCAGAGAAGACAGGGAGAGTGATCAGAGAGCTGGGAAGAAGTCAGGTTTCTGTTCATTGCCTCCTCTCGTACTGCATTGATTTGACTTTAGAGTTAAATCAGAGACACGTTAAATTTTGAGTCTTTGATGAAAGTGGCAAAGTTTAAAAGGTTATTGCATATCTTTTTTATCCTAATTTTTATTGCGATATAATTGACATTTAACATTGTGTAAGTTTAAGGTGTTCAACATAGTGATTTGATACATTTATATTGCAATATAATCTCCATTGTAGTGTTAGCTAACACCTCAATTATCATTTCTTCTAGTGGTGGGAACAATTGAGATCTAGTCTTTTAGAAAATTTAACGTTTAGGATACAGTTTTGTTGTCTATAATCACTGCACTGTGGATTAGATCTCTAGGACTAATTTATCTATTAGCTGTAAATAGATATAACATCTCTCTCATTCCCCCACCCCCAGCCCCTGGTAACTACCATTCTACTTTTTGTTTTTTCAAGTTTTTTTTTTTGTGTTGTTGTTGTTGTTTTTATTTATTTTTTTTAAGATTCCACATATATGGGCTATCATATAATATTTGTCTTTGTCTGACTTATCTCACTTAACCCAATATCCACAAGGTCCCTCCATGCTGTCACAAATGGCAGGATTTTCTTTTTTATCATGGCTGAAAATCTCCACTGCTGTATATCTTTTCTGTCTTCTTTCTTTCTGGAATAGTTTGGTGGGAAATTTTACAGATTAGGATAAATCTATATTATATCTACACACACACACACCATTTATTATATCTCAGTTTAGATCTGGAAATGTAAGTACTTATAGATACATATAAAGGAAAGGGTATAGACAGGACCTCTGTTGAACCAAGACTATTTGAGAAGGATGTGTGACTTTCATGTGATAAAATGAGAGCTTGCACTTTTAATAGGACATCTGTATCAGTGCGGTGAAAGAGAGGGACATTGAACAAAAGCTGAAGCAAGTGATTAATGAATGGGACAACAAAACATTCACATTTGGCAGCTTTAAAACCCGTGGAGAGCTCCTCTTGAGAGGAGATAGTACATCGGAAATCATCTCCAACATGGAAGACAGCTTGATGTTACTGGGCTCCCTACTGGGCAACAGGTAGGAAAACCGTCCTTCTTTCCCCTGAGGTTTGAGAGCCATAATAACAAACACTTCAAGGGAAATTAATTAAAAAAAATGCAGCCATATCCCTCGTACAATCTATTCAACATTAAAAGTACTTGTTTTAATTTTAGCCTTTGGCACGGCATGGATAATACTGTTTTGATTTCATTATCCTCTATTTGGGGGATGTGTCTGAGACCATCAGTTGCACAAAATCATGCACCATGTAATTAGCCACTTGGATCTTGCGGAACATTTCAGCTTTGCTGCTGACAAGCCTCACTGCACAGCTGACAGCTCGACAGGCTCTAGGTTCCAGAAGGAAAATTATTCTGAATTTTAGAATAATTACTTCGGAAACCTTTTTGTCAACACCTATGGACTAGAAGCTCTTAGTTGTGGACACACTTTAATGAGATGACAGATTAAGATAGAGAATGAAGTTAATTCATAAAGAGAAGTAAAGCAGCACAGACCGATACCAGCCTAACATTTCTGCTCGATGGTAGCAGCAGAGCTGTCATGCTTTGGACGTGCGAGCCAGAGACGACGCATAAACTTAGATTTCTTTGGTTCAATGCTTCCTCTGGTGCTTTTTGAAATAATTTTTTTGTTCACCAGGATTTTCTCAAATATATGGTAATTGTGTAAGTGTTTGAAATGAGTAATATAGAATATAAAATTAGGTCTTAGAGATTCAGACTATTGGTAACATTGAGTCTGAACTACTTAGAATTTGGTGAGTTTTAATGAATTTGCTTACTGGTCACACCCAACCAGAATTAAGGACAGATGGAAGATAACATACCCTATGGAGGTAGAAGAAATACACATATACATTAAGTAGACATCACCTGTGTTAGGAATGGGTAAACTTTTCTTACCAATGGCATTGAACCCACAGACAGAGTTTACGAGGGACGCATATTCAACCGAAATTTACAGAATACCTACCACGTGCCCTGTGGTCTTCTAGGAGCTGTGGTTACAAGGGTGAATAAAACAAAGATCTCTGTTGCTATGGACCCATATTCTTGTGAAAAGCATACACAAACAAAAAACCCCAGAAAGATATGTAGACTATTAAAGCAATCTGCTTCACACTTAAGAATATGGAAATTCAAACTTTATTCACTAATATGACTAATATTTGAGATGACTTCAAGCCCGTATTATGTTGGACTGGAGAGATCAAGAAAGGGTGAAGGTGAAGGGGAGAAACAACAAAAGGCAGTACAATCGTCTAGGAGTAGGGCTGTCTACAAATAACAGAAGCACCACATACAACATTGCTTGAACAAGACTGAAGTTTATGTCTTTCTCAAGTAAAAAAAAAGAGTCCCAAGGTTGATGGCTCAGGTAGGAGTGTGGACTCTACCTCATCTTCGGGGACCAAGCTTGGTCTGGCTCACTCCCCACCTTTACCAGGTGTAGCCTTTCTCCTCCTTCTACCCCCTTACATCCACTGCTTTCATCTGAAGGAGGGTTTTTCAGACTTGGCTACACAGTAGACACACCTAAGGAACTTAAAAAAAAATCCCAAAGCCTGGGCCACATCCCAGACTGATCGAATCAAAGTTCTGAGGGGTGGGATCCAGGCAGGTATTGGTAGGTTTTTTTTTTGTTGTTGTTGTTGTTTGTTTTAAGGTATTGGTAGTTTTTAATATTTATCGGATGATTAGAATGTGCAGCTAGGGTTGAGAAATATTGATGTGGACCTTAGTCCCGGGACTTCACATTGCTGCAAAGGAGGCTGCGGAATTCGTATTTTAACTGGGCAGCTATGAGTCTAGGTAGAAATGGGGTTCTATATCTAAAGCAGAAGGAGAAAAAGATATTGGGGGACCACTGTTTCTGCCTCACAAGGAAAAAGGGAAGATAGATTAACTATGAGAGAGGGCGAAAAGTGGCTCTCAGGCTTTATGTGTGTACACGCAGAAAGCCTCACGCATACATATACACACAGACATGAGTGGGGTGGACAGGAGTGGATGGGAAGTTGGAAGGAGGCTCAGAAGAGGGCAGGCTAAAGAGAGAGTCCAGATAGTATCATATTTGAAAACGGAATTTGTTGTTCGGTCCCTGCCAACGGCTCTGTAATGGCTCCACATTACATGAAAAACAAGAGACTCCATGGAATAGGCACAGAAGCTCAGTGGAGAGAATGTTATTCCCTTGGCGACAGCAACAGTGACCAGAATGATACTGTTCCAGCACCTGGGCGGAGTCAAGTCTAATGCTTGATCTGCTTCTTAGATGATACATCTCCCACTTCTCTATGCCCTGGGTCAAAATGCCCAGTATATGGTGATGAATGAATCACTTGGTAGCGTCATTTTAAAAGCCAGCAACATAATCAAAGTTGTAAACAAACAGGTGAAAATCAGGAGTTTTTAAAAACCTCTTTAGTTTGAAAACAACAACAATAAAAACAAAACACTAAAAAAACAAATTCTGAATGTATTTCTCATTTTAGGTGCAATATGCCATTCAAAGGCCAGATTCAAAAGTGGGTGCAATACCTTTCCAACTCAGCAGACATCATTGAGAATTGGATGATGGTGCAAAACTTGTGGATTTACTTAGAAGCCGTCTTTGTAGGAGGAGACATTGCCAAGCAGCTTCCCAAGGTCTTAGAAATTTCTTTATGATTTCATTCGGTTTTTAAACTTAGAGAACTATCTAATAACTCAGAATGTCCTTAAAAATGCAATAAATTTCAACCTCTATTGAGCCACCCCTTCTCCAGTCTTTTGGTTGTTGCTGTCAAGCTGTTCCTCAAAGAGAGAGAGGGTAATTGTGGAAAAGAGGGGTGTGAAAACCCTGAGGTTTTATAGGAAATGGAGGGTTAAAAAACAAAGAATGAATGCTTGCATAATTGATATACTTCTTCAGATAATTTGAAGGTGGAACTTGGAACAGTGTAGAATTACAGAGTGGTTATCTTGACAGTGGTAGGATAATTTGTCTCTACTACTGACAGTTTAAAATAACCCACACTCTACAATATACCCAATTATATCAGTACTGTAAAATGGGGTGGAAATCTGCAAGGAAAAACTCAAGGATTCTTATCCAATTACCTTAAATTGTTTGCTAAATTATAACGTGTTAACAATACATTTGAGTTTTAGAAGCATGATTATGTTGAGTGTTCTCTTCACTTAGGTTTCCTTAACTTTCTCTTTGGTTAGTTTTCAGTTTAATGATAGGGGGCAGACCTGTTAGCTGATTTATTTTTTGGCTACCAGTGAAATGTATCCATACATTATAATTTTAGGTATTTATTTTTCTTTTATATTTGGGTGTGTTTTTCTTCTTGATGGATGAAGAGTCTCAAATTGGACTTAATGGAAACTTTCACATACGATATTGAAGGAGTTAGGTGGAGTTTCTTGCTCTCATACTTGATAGTATGTGCTCATTGGTAAAATATAGAAAGTTTTAAGGAAGAAAATCACAATCATTCCTACTCTCTCAAACTAATCTGCGCATTTTCCATTTTTCCTAAAATATCTATTTAAAAAAATTTCAGAATATTAGGGTCACACTATAATTAATTTTGTGTCTTATTTTTATTTTTATTTTTTTTTGCGGTACGCGGGCCTCTCACTGTTGTGGCCTCTCTCGCTGCGGAGCACAGGCTCCGGACGCGCAGGCTCAGCGGCCATGGCACACGGCATGTGGGATCTTCCCGGACCGGGGCACGAACCCGTGTCCCCTGCATCGGCAGGCGGATTCTCAACCACTGCACCACCAGGGAAGCCCTGTATCTTACTTTTGTTTTCTAAATACACAAATAATTCAATGCTCAGTGTAGAAAACTTGAAAAGCATAAGATTCACTTAATTTGGAGGTAATTGAAAACAGTTGGGAGGGTGCTTTTCTCCCAAATTATCTTGTGTTGTATTTTTATTATTATTATTTAATATTTATTGGACTATAGTTGATTTACAATGTTATGTTAGTTTCAGGTGTACAGCAAAGTGAGTCAATTATATGTATACATATATCCACTCATTTTTTAGATTCTTTTCCCATATAGGCCATTACAGGGTATTGAGTAGAATTCCCTGTGCTATACAGTAGGTTCTTATTAGTTATCTATTATATATAGTAGGGTGTATATGTCAATCCCAGTCTCCCAATTTGTATTATTATTTTTATACCTGCTTCCTGCTTTTAGTTAGCATAATGTAGGTCCCAGGGTTGAGCTAAAGATTCTTATTTAAGAAAGGGGGTGCTATGGTGCAAAAGGCCCAAGGAAAATTGAAATAGAACATGTGTGATATTTCACGTATGCACAGGGTATCCAGAACGGTTACAAGTCTGACCTCAGCGGGAGGTATGTGAGACACTCTGTCCTTGGGATCACAGACGTGTCCAAGTGTGCTTTGTTACCTTGTGCTCATAGGAGGCCAAGCGCTTTTCCAACATAGATAAATCCTGGGTGAAGATCATGACTCGGGCACATGAGATGCCCAGTGTGGTTCAGTGTTGTGTTGGAGATGAGACCATGGGGCAGCTGTTACCACACTTGCTGGACCAGTTGGAAATCTGCCAGAAATCCCTTCCTGGGTAAGTTCACTCTAAGCATCCTAGAGATGAAAGGGACCAGAGACACGAGACAGGATTAGCCAAATGGGTGTTCTTTTGCTTAGATTCAATTCATGTCTAACGTTGTGGCATAGATAAAACTGATAGTTTGGAGCCTTATCGTCTCTCCAAGCAGTTACTAGATTTTCTCTGATGTTTAAATTATAGGCTTTATGGCTTCTTCCATCATTGGGACAAGAGCTTGTAAATATTCTCATACAGTCCTTGTTTTTAAAATTAATATACCTGTTTTTCTGATCTCCTTCTTGGATAGACATCTGAAGAAGCAAAATATTTCATTATACTCAACCAAGAACAATATGGACAGTGTGTAGTACGCACAAGCAGTCAAGATTATACAAAAATGTGAGCCTAATCTAATACCTAGCAATATACACTGACACACCCACACCCACACCCACACTTACGTATATGGAGGCTGGAGGAACTCCAAGAGCAATAAATAATTTTCTTGCCCTTTGGCTAATCATGATAAAATCACTAAGTAGAAATATATTAAATATGGAAACAAAAGTGCAGCAAAAGTAGGGTGATGACAGGTAGAACAAACATTCACTGGGTTTTTGTAACTCCTCGAGGCAGAGAACAGTGTCAAGACCCTTCCTTCCATGCAGCTGGATTTTGTTTCTGCTTCAGTGATAGATTCATTGGATTCTTTTAAGATACAATCCTAAGAATTGGAATTGTCAGCCTTTAGCTGACATAGCACTGTGCTTGCAAATAAAATAAAACAAACACAAAACCGAAAGACTCCCTGTGTGTAAATCTTCCTGTCTTCTACAAAGAAAGTACAAATATTTCCAGGTTAAGTCAAATGTATACATTATACTTGTGAAAAATGAGGAAATTCCATCAGCTCTGGAAAAAAATAGTCTCCCAATCAGAATATGGACTCCCACTTGGCAAAATCAGTAATGAAAACAACAACAACAACAACAAAAACACAGAACAAAACAGAAACATTGAACAATGTGGGAAAATTAGATTCGCTCAAAGTCTTTTCCCTTTTTCCCATCCAGATTAATTTATTCCTAGAAAGACCTGTTTTGTGTGCTTATGACGTTTATCTTTTCCTCCCCACTTAGGTACTTGGAGAAAAAACGGCTTTGCTTTCCTCGGTTCTTCTTTGTCTCGGACCCCGCTCTTCTGGAGATTCTGGGGCAGGCATCAGACACACACACTATACAAGCCCATTTGCTGAGTGTGTTTGACAACATCAAAACGGTCAAGTTCCACGAAAAGGTTTGCCTAATTCTAATTGCTGGCCAGCAATTTACGTATCTTAGAATCTCAACTGTCTTTATTAAATTGCTCTCCAATAGTGTTTACAAAGATTTACTTCCCTGTCCATTAAATATCACCCGATGACTAAAAAGATACTTTTGGGCCCAATTTGCCTTCAGAACTATGTGACTTCTTAATATCCAAAGTGTAGATTTGAATAACAGATAGTTTAAATGTGATTAGCAATGCTTCGTATGTAGCATTCATAGCTTCACATGCCAAGTTAACTGTTTAGAAATTCAACAAAACAAAGGAACAAATTGCTCATCAAATAGTGCCTTGACTGAACAGAATTCCGCAGTGACTTGTTTTAATCAGGCTTCAGATGGTTTTGGCATGATGGTCCTCCATGTTTTTCATCATACTCCATCGAAAACCTTTTCTTTCCTTTTTTTAAAAAACACTCCCAACAATTTCTAGAATCATGGAGTTGTATGGGACCCAAAAGAAGTTATCCGACATGAGGAAGACTATACATTTGCCTAGCTGCCAGAAGATATTGTCTAATCTACCCCTTTACCCCAAATTCCCTAAAAAAGTGACCCTTCCAGTTGGATGACATATTCAGTTCCCTTATGGTGTTTCATACAAACCTTAGTATCATTTATTTATTCATCCCAGAACGCAACTTGCATCTGTTGAGCAAATACCACGGACTAGGTGTTGTACTTAACAATGGGAATATACCATCCTCAGGGATCTCGTGCTCTTGTGGGGTCTGCAGAGTGCAGCTCGTGCAGTGGTAGAGCTAGTCCATTGGAGGCCATTAAAAGCCAGTCATTTAAGTTCAAGCCCCTCGCTGTGTGCCAGGCATGATGCCAGTCCTGGGGTTTCAAGGAAGAATATATCGCAATCCATACTGCAGTTGTTTTTATGCAGTACAACATTCAAGAGAAATTTGGCAATTAAACCATTGACATTTTTGACTTGCTGTGTTTGTGTGATGCACAAGGAGCATGGAAATGCCCACCAGGGAGCCCTAACCTGGGTGTAAAGGGTGTAAGAGATAGCTTCCTGCAGGAGAATGTGGTGTTTGAACTGATTTTTTGAAGGTGAGTGGAACATAACCAGGCAAGTGGGGAAGGGACGCACAGTCTGGCCAGAGGAAGGGCAAGTGCAATGGCCCGGAGGTGTGGGCAGTCTAGGATGTCAGAAGTGTGGGTATGTGAGGGAGTGTATTACTTTCCTAGGGCTTCCATGGATTAAAACAACAGAAAATTATTCTCTCACAGTTCCGGAGGCTAGACATCCAGACTAAGGTGTTGGCAGGGTTGGTTCCGACCGGAGGCTCTGCAGGAGAGTCTGTTTAGTGCCTGTCTCCTAGTTCCCAGTGGTGGTCAGCAATCCTTGGTGTTCCTTGTCTTGCAGACACATCAATTTGATCTCCACCTTTGTCTTCACTTGACATTCTCCTTGTGTGTTTGTGTCTAAATTTCCTTCTTCTTCTAAGGTCATTGGATTCGGGTCCACCAGCATCCAAGATGACCTCATCTTAACTTGATTGCACCTTCAAACACCCCATTTCGAAATCAGGTCCCACTCACAGGTACTAGGGGTTGGGGCTTCAATATATATTTTTGGAGGAGACAATTTAACCCATAACATGGGGTGATGAGCAAAGGCAAAAGAGGGAGAAGCAGGCATGGACCATATTCCAGAAGGTCAAGTGCATCACACTATGGAATGTACTTCATCGTGAATGTGATAAAAGGTGTGGGAGGTTTTCAGCAGAGCAGTGACCTGATTTGTGTTTCAGAAAGAGCCTCTGACTCAGAGTAGGAGGCAGAATGGAAGGGGGCAAGGAAACCAATTTCGAAAGTGATTGCAAAGTCAGGATGGAAAAGGCCGAGTTGCTACAACAAAGGGGGTGGGTGGAGAGAAAGAGAAGACCGTATGGATTGAATGGTTTAAAAATTGATCTTTCTTGTAGATCTACTGGATGCATGGGTTGAAAGAGGGCATTGAATTACCCAGGAAGTTCTTCTTGATGTTTTCCTCAAATCCTTCTGCTTTAGCACCAGGACTTCATGGTCCTAGAGTGAAGCTTCTTATTGTTTGATTGTACATTGAAGATAATTGAAACTTGCTCATTTTCAGCCTCTGTTCCTAGCAATTACTTCTTAAAAATAAATAGCATTGCTTTTTTTTTTTTCTTGTTGCTGTTCCTACCATAAGGTTTCTACAGCCAGGGGCAGATCCTGGTTTTGTGGGTCCTAAATCTTATAAAATTATAAATACAAACTTATATTCAGGACCTAGAAGGGTCTGTGCAAGTGAGGGACCTTGAAACTTAAGGCTCATTAGCTTCTTGGTAGATCACTTCTGTGGACAACTAAGGAGGATTTCATTAATACAGACTAAATCTGGGCCCAAGGGAACAATATTCCACTTACTAGAGAACAAAAAAACAACAAACATTTGCATTTACTTTATAGTTTGCATCACAGTTGTTCCTTGGTGTCTGTGGGGAGGACTGGTTCCAGGACCCCAGCAGATACCAAAATCTGTGGAGGCTTAAGTCTCACATAAAATACTGTAATATTTGGATATACCTACACTTGGTTTCTGGATTACTTATAATACAATACAATGTAAAGGTTACGTAAATAGTTGCCAGCATGTGGCAAATTCAAGTTTTGCTTTTTGGAATTTCTGGAATTTCTTTTTTCAAATATTGATCAGAGGTTGGTTGAGTTTGTGGATTCAGAAACCGTGGATATGGAGGGCCAACTGTATTTTGTATAACTGACATGAGTGTCCTGTAAGGTGAGTTGGGAAATAGGACAGGCATGATTTTTAATGACTAAATAGAAGCAAGAAATTTAGTCTCCGAGATGTGTCTTCCAACATTGGAAGGTCAGTGAATAGCACAGCACCATTTGAACCGTATTTTAGAATTCCAGATACTCCACATATTCTCATTATGCCATACTGCATGGAAATTGAAGTGAGATGACCAGACTAGGAGCTGGGTTTGCATTAGAATATATTATGTGCAACCAACAGCTCCTGTAAAGAGCACGATGTTTAGTATAGAATTGGAATTGCCTTGTGAGATGTTTGCATTGATCATTTTGACCAGGTCATTGCTAATGTCAACTTGATAATCTCGTGGTGTGGATGACAGGGTCTTAGAGAGTCCTATTTCATCTTGGGAAACTTTAGAGATTTTTTTGATTATCACATTTGTATTGAACATTTCTCTTAGAAAACAAGTTTTCCCCTCTCCGGTATAGACTATTTGAAATTGATTTAGTATTCCCTTTTCGATTTCATGGATAGCTTTTTAAAAAATTGTTTTGGAATTGATTTTGTATCATACTTTGCCTTTTACTTTATAAAATGTGGCTTAACTTTCTACAGGAAGGATAACATTGACAAGAGGGCAATGGAGGAATTCATTCTTTGTGTAAATATAGCTTCTTTTTGGGCTTCTAACACAGATCTATGATCGCATCCTGTCAGTTTCCTCTCGAGAGGGTGAGACGATTGAATTGGATAAACCCGTGATGGCAGAGGGCAATGTGGAAGTTTGGCTTAATTCTCTCTTGGAGGAATCTCAGGCCTCATTACATCTTGTGATTCGCCAGGCAGCTGCAAATATTCAAGAAACAGGTTTCCAACCGATTGAATTTCTTTCTTCCTTCCCTGCTCAGGTCAGTGTATTGAAATTGGAAAGTATTTTTTATAGAATAGTCATTTTCCATCTCAGATGTTGTCTATTGTAAACTACACAACTGCATATAGTTTAACTCTAGACCAATATTAAGATTTTCATTAGGATTTGTTAAATATAGATAAGCTTAAAGATTTCAACTACAGATTATTTGGTGTTATGTATCTGTATCTATACATATATATTTATAAATATACATATATTTGTGCTGCGATATTTGATCTGTTTTCTTTAACTTAAAATATTTTTTTCCTACTGAATCTCTTCAGTACATAAATTATAAAATGTACTGAGTGTGTTTTACCAGAAAAATGTTTCAGCAATAAAATACAGAAAATGATGTTTTCTTAGTCATGTGATCAATAGAGATTTTGTGTCTACTATGTGTAGACACATAGTGTTAGTTTGGGGAAGGTAGGTTTAAGATGTATTCTTTCCATACCAGTAACTTAAAATCTATCTAGGGAGAAATATGACTTAGAATGAGAAGAAAAAATCTGTAGACATATCATGAGGCTGTATATACTTAATTGTCAGGTAAACAATATGAATAGAGTCTCCATAGGTTTTGAAACAACCCATCAAGTTGAAGTAATCAAGGATGGCCTGACATTTGCAATAATAATCACAGCTGTTTACTATATTGTGGTTTCTATTTAAATATATTCATATGCCATACGTACTCATAAAGCCTTTTTTATTTCCATAAGGTTGGATTATTAGGAATTCAAATGATATGGACACGGGATTCAGAAGAGGCTCTTAGAAATGCCAAGTCTGATAAAAAAAATCATGCAGAAAACCAATCAGTCTTTCCTGGAGCTACTGAACACATTGATAGACATGACAACCAAGGATCTGAGTTCCGTGGAACGAGTTAAATATGAGACTTTGATTACTATTCATGTGCACCAAAGAGATATCTTTCATGACCTGGTAAATGCTTTGCAAATGCTGTGGCATATACAGAAAAGCAAATACTAGAAACTATCTTTGTTTACCCACTGGGAATAGTTTGAATGAATTCAAAGAAAAGGTAAAATTCAGGCAAAGAAGCATCTTCATGATGAGAGATTGTTTGTCAGACTTTCTTTTCAGTGTTTAGCTGAAATTTCAGCTCTTTTCCAATGATCTCGGCTAAGGTGTTGTGGAGGCAATTAGACTTTATTTTAAAAATTCGTTATGTGATCATTTTTAATGCTGAAATGTCATGTAGCATCCTGAAAAGCTTTTATTTGTCTTGTGCTCCTTTTGATTAGATTGAAGATGACCAGTTTCTTGCTATAGAAATAATAAGTGATATATTGCTAGTAGAAGTGCTTAGTAGTTCCTTTAAGGCCTTCATAAATCACAGCTTTAACAAGTTATGCTACATTTTATGTCATTGATTGCAAATGGTCTTTCCTAATATAGTTTGTGACATTCAGGAGATATGCGGATTTTGCCTTTAAAGAAAGAACAGGGATGGAAAAGAGAGTTTTGTAGCTATAGAAAATAGGAAATGGGAAAAGAAATGATATTTGTCCTCTACTATAAAATACAACATTAGATAACAGGCATGGAGCTCTTATTTTCATAATAATTTTCTGGATCGTGTCTCACCCCGCCATTTAAAAAAGATTATGAAAGATTGGTTCTGATGTAATGGAAATAAAGGCAATGCATTCAAGCTGTTATGTGCTAATCTCCTCTCTTAATAGTTAAGCACACTGTTTGCCTCAATGAGAAATAAAGGGCTCAGGGTAGTTTTAGATTTCTTATTTGTCAAAGAAAAATGATTAAAGTGGTTTAAAAATATTCAGACAAAAGCATTGCTGGGCAATAACCTGCCATTTAGATGTTAGAAATTTTGGCCTGCTGCAAATCCTAGGAAGGGTAATTAACGGATTAAAAAAAAAAAAAACCAAGAATGTACTTTATCATAATCATAAGAGATGACTTTTTTTCCTAATGAGATTGTTTAGTTCTATCTTTGTAAGCCAAATGTGTTTTTTCATAGGTTGTATTTCATGGTTAGGACTGTGGTATTGGACATTTAAGGGTGAAATTTAAGAAATGAACACATTCCTCTTAAAATAGATCATGTTATTTAAATTGAGGGCCACAATTAGTTTCTCTTGACTTCTCCTTTTCTCATATTGTTGAAAGTATCTTTTTTTGCTGATCAATAAATGAATGGGTTGGATGGTGATGTAGTTGACATCACCCAAGTAGTTGGGCTGTCTTTGCGTTCCATTAACTTCACATTATGATCTACCTGAATGCTAATGCGTATAGTTAATAAGCGGTTCCCATCTCAGTTTTAACACATACCTTTTGCATTTCAGTGTCACATGCATATCAAGAGCCCTACAGACTTTGAGTGGCTGAAACAGCGCAGATTTTATTTTAACAAAGATTCCGACAAGATGATGATTCACGTCACAGATGTGCCGTTCATATACCAGAACGAGTTTGTAGGCTGCACTGACAGGCTCGTTATAACTCCCCTCACAGACAGGTGATGGAAGGGTTCTGTGAATCCTCAACCTCTCCCTCCTCCACCCCCAACCTTCTAATTCTCTCCAGGTGCTCAAGGGATTTTGGCTGACGGTCTCTTTAGGGTTTACAGGCTCTTTTATATTAAAGTCTTCGAAATCCGGTATGTTTAGCTTTACACACATGTCTTCACATGGGATTTAGTAGGTTTGTGACTAAAACAGACTTTGCTTCCTTTGCCTTCAGTCTTACAGAGTCTAAGTTTAAATGACCTCCGTGGACATCAAATGGAAGAAAGGTGAATTAATCACTATGTATCAATAGGTGCAAATCACCATGGGCTTTGAGGGCTGCTTTAGGGGACCGTGGCACTTATAGTCATTACAGAGACAATAAGGTGGTTTTTTAGCAGGAAAGAAATTGAGTATGAACATTGGTGAATCGTGATGGAGAGGACATTGACCTGTCCTGCCCTCTGCCTGTTATTTACCAACTGTGTTAGCCAGAGCCGCCATGCAGTTTCCCTGGACTCATTTTCCTCATCTGTAAGGTGTACTAGGTTATCTCCAGGGGTCCTTCCTCCATGGCTAATAGCCTGTAATTCACTTAGTTTAATTTGAGCTTTGTGGCATCAGCTAATTGTATATGTGCTGTTCAGGGATGCTTTGAGTACTTATGTTGGACAAAATGGCTGAGTGTTAAAATCAACATTGGGCCTAAGGAGAAGCTAAAGCTGAATATCAATCATTTTCACAGGATGAACCCCTGGGCTATTAGATTGAAAATATTATCGGACAAGGTATAAAAGTTTGACGTAATAACCCTGTCTGTGAGACTTTTCCCTCTGCTCAGTTATGATACTGAATGAAATGCTCACTTTTACCTGAGGATTGAGGAGTAGCAGAAGATGTTACTGTCCTTTTCTCCTCACATTTTCTTTGTCTTCATACACTCCATATTCCTTCTTGTGTCTCATTAAAGATGATTTCTTTTTTTTTTAAATTTTTATTGGAGTTTAGTTGATTTACAGATGTTAGTTTCAGGTGTACAGCAAAGTGAATTAGTTGTACATATACATATATCCACTCTTTTTTTAGATTCTTTTCCATATAGGCCATTACAGAGTACTGAGTAGACTTCCTTGTGCTACACACTGGGTTCTTATTAGTTATCTATTTTATATATGTCAATAGTAGTGTGTGTATATCAATCCCAATCTCCCGATTTATCCCTCTCCCCCATATCCCCTGGTAACCATATGTTTATTTTCTACAAAAGATGGTTTCTACTGGATGCTTTTGGATGTCTTTTTGGAGTTGTTCTCTTTGTTTTGAAGTGCAGAGGTGAATAATGACAAAATGTGGAGAATTCCTTGAAACACTTGTAACAGCTATTTCACACCTTCTCTCCTTCCAGACCTCAAGCATCCCCCTCCATTCCTCTCTCGACCGAAGGCCCCGTTTCCTGTTTTACTGAGAAGATAGATGCTACAACAGGAGAGGACCTGCACTCATTCCCCACCATCATGTCTGCCAACCAAGCCCCTATCCTTATGCTGTCCACTTTCTCTTCTGGTTTTAGGGGTGGAGTTTGTGCTGCCATCCAAAGCCAACAGCTTCCACTGAAACAGTTATTTTCTCTCTGGGAGCATCATCAATTTTCACTTTCCACTGGATCATTCTCATCAATGTACGATGTGCTATAATGGCTTCCAGAAAGGAAATCCTACTGTGAACCCTCTAGTTTCCCTCCCATTTCTGTACTCCCATCAAAACGCCTCAAAATCACAGTTTTTTCTATCTATTTTACCTTGAATTCACACCATTCAGGTTCTATGTATTAGTTTTCTGTTGCTTTCATAACAAATGACCACACGTTTAGAAGCTTAAACAGCACAAATTATTTCACAGTTGCGTACGTCAGAAATGTGGTGCACACCTTGTTGGACTAACATCAGGTGTCAGCAGGACTGTGGTCCCTCCTGGAGTCTCTAGGGGAGAATCTGCTTTTTGTTTTTTAGTTTGTTGGCAGGATTCTTTTTCTTGTGGTTGCAGGACCTATGTCCCAACTTCCCTGTGGACTGTCAGCTGAGGGCTGTTCCCAGCGTCTGGAGGCTGCCGTATTCCTTGGCTTGTGGCCCCTTCCTTCATCTTCACGGCCACAACCATGGGTTGAGACTCCTTCATGCTTCCAGTCTCTTTTCCTTTTCCCGTCTCATGTCTCTGACCCAGTCTTCCGCCTCCCTCTTCCCCTTTTAAGGACTCATGAGATTAGATGGGGTTCACTGCGTAATCCAGGATAATCTCCCCATCTCAAGGCCTTTCACATTAATTACATCTGCAAAGTCCCTTTAGCTGTGTAAGGTAACATATTTACAAGTTCCAGGGATTGGGATGTGGATATCTTTGGGGGACCATTATTCTGCCCATCACACTTTCTTCCCCCCGGTAGGGCAGTCACCCAGATCCTCATGTTGCTAAATCCAATGGTCATTTCTAGTTCTGACCTTCCTTGACTAGTCAGCAGCATTTGCATAGGTGATCGCTGTCTCCTTTTTGATACACTTTCTTCATGTGGCTTCCAGGACACAACATTCACCTAGTTCCTCTTGTTCTGGTTCTTCATACCGTCTCCTACTGGTGCCTCTTCATCTTCTTGACCCCTGATCACTGAACGCACCAAGGCTCTTCTCCATCACTCACTCCTCAGGTGATCTCACATGGCTTTAAATATCATCTAGATGTGGACTCCCCAATCTCTACACCCTGACAGGGCTTCTCCCTTGAACTCCAGACACATACATTCACTTGCCTGTGTGACATGTTTTCTTGGATGCTTACTGGGAATTCACACTTATGGTTGATTGTCCGCCCACAAAACTGCCCTCTTCTCTGGCTTTGCAAATGGCAATTCCATCCTTCAGTCGCTCAAGCCAAAATCCTTGGAGTATCCTTAATGCCTTTCTTTCTCTCACTTTATTATCCAATCTATCATCAAGTTTGGTCACCACCACTTTCAGAACTCACTTAGGATGTGACCACTTTTCTCCCCTTTGCTGTTATCACGTTAGTCCAGGCCACCATAATGTCTAGGCTGGATGACTGCAATAGTCTTTTATCTGGTTTCCTGCTTCTGCCATTGCCTCTCAATTCAGACACTGGAATATAAGTCAGATCCTGTCATCCCTTTGCCTTGATCTCCACTGTCTTTCCATCTCACCCAAAGTAAAAGCCAGTGTCCTTACATTGGCCTATAAGACCTGCCATGATCTGATCCCTGCTACTCTTTCTCCTTCCTCATTGAGCTCCAGCTACTTGCTCCTTGGCTGTTCCTTGAACAGTCTCAGCACACTGCTGCCTCAGGACCTTTGCACTTGCTGTTGCCTTAACTGGGAACCTTTTCCCTTCAATACTGGCATAGCTCACTTCCTCTTCTCCAGGTCTCCGATTGAATGTCATCGCACATGGGTCTTTGGACCTGACACATTTGAAGCAGCAATCCCCGCACTCCTGAACCCTCCTAACCAGCTTTATTTTTCCTGTTTTCTACTTTTGAATAGTCTATTTCCTTCCTTTAGGATATCAGGTATATCCTTTGAGGTATAGATTTCCTGTGATTTATTCACTGCTCCTAGAAAAGTTCTGTTTCATAATAGGTACTAAATAAAATTTCCCAAATGAATGAAGAAATGTTTATTTTCAAAGTCACATCTTTGTGGTGAAAAAATTAAATAGTACCTAAAGATATAAAGTTGAAAGTATGAGAGGAAAAGTTTTCTATTTCTCAAAATGATTAGTAGTTTATTTTCTGTCTAAGAAATTTCAAATGCTTATATGTCAAGATTCTTTTTAACTTTCACATATAGGTAACAGATTATACAAACTTTTTTGCAACTTGATTCTTTCACTGTATTAATTATCTTGTATATATTTCTGTATCAAAAAACTTGAGAACTTTAAAAGCAAAGTATGTAAGTGGAGGTGATTCTAAAGTTTGTTTCCCCCTGTTTCACTCTAAATGTTCACTTGTTTTTTCTTCTCTAAGTTGATTACGGGAGCAGTGAGTCACCATTTTTTGCTGGTCATTGGGATTGCACTGCAGGATTGGCTGCCTTTTTACAAAAGAATTCCTCACTAAGATTAATACTTGAGGGCTTCCCTGGTGGCGCAGTGGTTGAGAGTCCGCTGCCGATGCAGGGGCCGCGGGTTCGTGCCCCGGTCTGGGAAGATCTCACATGACGCGGAGCGCCTGGGCCCGTGAGCCGTGGCCGCTGAGCCTGCGCGTCCGGAGCCTGTGCTCCGCAACGGGAGACGCCACAACACTGAGAGGCCCGCATACCGGACAAAACAAATAAATAAATAAATAAAAATAAAACAAAAGGCCAGAGACCTTGACATCTTGTCAGCTTTTCACTGACTGCCCTGTGAAAAGTCAACAATGTTGATAGTGATAGCCTCTGGGAAACGTGATATCAGTTGGATGGAGTTGCAGATATTTCAGATGATAAAATAGTCAATAAATATGCTAAAAACATATAGTGCCTTTTTCGAAAAGCTCATGGTATTTTTCATGACCAGGCCTTCCTTCTACTTCTGAGCACAAGTCGAGAAGTCTGGAATCTTTCTTACTACAGTAAGTCCCCTACATACAAATGAGTTCCATTCCGAGAGCACGTTCGTAAGTCCAATTTGTTTGTAAGTCCAGCAAAGTTAGCCTAGGTACCCAACTAACACAATTGGCTATATATACTGTACTGTAATAGATTTATAATACTTTTCACACAAATGATACATAAAAAACAAACAAACACAAAACATAAAGAAAACATGTTTAATCTTACAGTACAGTACCTTGAAAAGTACAGTACAACAGCTGGCATCCAGGGGCTGGCATCGAGTGAACAGGCAAATAGAATTACTGACTGGAGGAGGGAGGGGAGGTGGGAGATTGTAGAGCTGAAGGATTGTCAGCAATAGGAGATGGAGGGAAAGCTGCAATTCCACTCATGCATGATGTTGATGG